GTCTCTTATTTCCTTTGAAACGTTACTGCACGCGAGCTGCTATAAACGAGGGCGTAAGCCAGAGAAGAAAAAATAATGGACCGTCTTTTCTGGTCTCATCCCAATCCCATTATTGTAACATAACATCGTGGTTTGCAATCGCACTAGCTGAGGTATAAAGAACTAGACGGATTTCAAGAGGAAAGGCGGACTGCACCCAGTCTATGAATGCAGAGGTCCACGCAACGCGTAAATAAAACTGACTGGTTCCTGTTGCCGGATCTCTAATTAAAGAGATGCTGTAGCCGGACGTCACTTGATGTGTAATATCAAACAAAACCGATTGCAAGGCTGGCATTACAAGCCGCAGGCTCGATTTTCGGGGGATCGCGACTTTAAATATAAACGTCGCCATCTTCGCATATATCTGAAGGGCGAGGCGCCAAGTCTATTGTTTTGAACCAGGGGTTCTATTACATTAAGAGACCCTGAGCCTATCTGCTGTGATTGGTCTACGTCAGGTCTACGTTTTTTTCCGCTGAAGTCAGCAGACGTTCGTGGGGCAGAAACGCGTGACGAATCCCTAAGAACGCGTGGGAGGCTATGGAACTTATTACTCGCACGTCATCTCGCTAATTCACATGACATTTTATTCCGACAGGAGATATTAACACAATCAAAATATGCTTTTGTCCCCAAACGATAACCGGAACCTCCGTAAATGCATCATCGATTTTATTTTAAAAATTACAAATGTCTTTTTAAACAGAGCAACTTCAGAATACTCGCCCACTTTACTTAAATTTATTAACATTGTGTGGGCCGCGCCCAACCGTTTCTTTGTAACTACAGTCGAACCTCGCTATTTCGAACTCGGTTAATTCGAAGTCTCCGCCATTTCGAAGGAAGATCGAATGCCCTTGCCCTTTACGCTTTTCCGGTTATTTCGAAGCCCCGCTATTTCGAATTTTTTTTTCCATTTCCCTTGGGACTTCGAAATAGCGGGGTTCGACTGTACTACGTAAAATAATCAAACCATACGAAAGTCTCCAGGTGATTAAAAGCAAAAGGACGCACCCGAGTAGAACGCGAGACCACAAGAATATTGTTTTATGAATGTAACCGCATTCGCAGAGATTCTCCGTGAACGGATCGCAACAGTATTGTTCTAAATAAATAAAAAAAAGAAAAAGAAAAGGCTTCTTCAGAATAAAAGGTTTCGTGCTGTGCTTTCCAGTTTCCAGGACGTACTAAAAGTGCCGGAAATAGGAATCTTGCCACGCGTGTTTTATTTGTAACGAGAAAACAAATATTTTACTAATAAATGCCGAAAAACAAAAATGGCGAAGGGTCTCCTACAAGAAAATCTCCTATAAAAAAACACTCTAAGACACACATATAGCTTATGTAGCTTGTAAACCCCTTAATTTTAAAGTTATTGCGCAAGTGATTTTATAATACCTTGGTGTCTAAACTCACAGAATCACTAGCGTGCCGCCTAGTGTTTCTGTTGCTTTCAAAATCACACTTGGGAGTTTACCCGGGGGGGGTACTCCCACGAATTTTGGATAGGGGTGTGCCGCGAAGGTTCGTGAACCCTAACCCTATTTAAGGACTAAGGAAGCGAAAACTGATACCCTTTTTAAGGCCCAAAGCCGAAAAATGACACCCTATTCAAGGAAAAAACAAAATTATTAATAGCATGAAAAGGAAAACTTCATTTCTTCTCTGTAACATTGGATGTATAGCATCAAGCATGAAATACTAGAATAAACCGGGTTTAATAATATGCAATCATAGCCATGATACATCTTTCAATACTGTTTTTACACTCCAGTATTAGATAATACAATTACGCTACCCTATCTAAGGACCACACCAGGGACACAGAAACTAAAGGGTCAAAAAAGATACCCTATTTAAGGACCGAGAACCTCAAAAACCATACCCTATTCCGCGGCACGTACCTATATAGCTCATATATGGGAGTACCTCCCCCGGGGGAGTTTAGAACACCATGACATTAAAATAAAACTCGCCGCACTTAATAGTAAAGTCATTGTCTTTTTTTAAAAAATAATCACCCTTGAAATATGCTAAGGTGCTTCTTAGTTATTTCTCTTCAGGCTTTTCTCCGGCGTTCCATTCCTTGTTCTTAATTTCTATACAGTCTCTCCGCAAGAATCTTGCGAATACTAGTGGCAAAAGTGAAACTCACCTTTTTCCCCGCAAGCAGTTACTGATCAAAAGACTCCCTTAACAATGATTTCCATTCCCATACCTAATTTTCTAAAATCCTGCAATACATAGCTTTTTCTGGACTGGATAAACAGTTAAATAGCAGCAGCGGTGAGATGCACGTTTTTTATTCCGACAGAAGATATTAACACCTAAATCACAATATGCTTTTGTCCCCAAACGATAACCGGAACCTCCGTAGATACATCATCGATTTTATTTTAAAAATTACAAATGTCTTTTTAAAAAGAGCAACTTCAGAACACTTTGCCACTTTACTTAAATTTATTTACATTGTGTGGGCCGCGCCCAACCGTTTCTTTGTAACTACCACGTAAAATAATCAAACCAAAACCAAACGAAAGTCTCCAGGTGATTAAAAGCAAAAGGACGCGCGCAAGGAGAACGCGAGACCACGAGAATATTGTTTTCGAAATGTAACCGCATTCGCAGAGATTCTCCGTGAACGGATCGCAACAGTATTGTTCTAAATAAATATCAAAAAGAAAAAGAAAAGGCTTCTTCAGAATAAACGGTTTCGTGCTGTGCTTTCCAGTTTCCAGGACGTACTAAAGGTGCCGAAAATAGGAATTTGCTACGCGTGTTTTATTTACGAGAAAAAAAATCTTTTACTAATAAATGCCGAAAAATATAACTGGCGAAGGGTCTCCTACAAGAAAATCTCCCATTAAAAAACACTCTAAGACACACATATAGCTTATGTAGCTTGTAAACCCCTTAATTTTAAAGTTATTGCGCAAGTGATTTCATAATACCTTGGTGTCTAACTTACAGAATCACGGGCGTCCCACCCAGTGTTTCTGTTACATGATAAAACTCCCACTTAGGAGTTTAGAACACAAAGGCATTACAATAAAACTCGCTTACTCAAGCTAAATCATATTAACCTTTAAATTTCCACTTGGTGCGCAAGTGTTTTCATAATACCGTAGTGTCTAAACTCAAAGAATCACGAGCGCGCCACCTAGTGTTTCTGTTACTTTAAAAATCGCACTTAGGAGTTTAGAACACCATGGCATTACAATAAAACTCGCTTACTCAAGCGAAAACATCTTAGACATATTAACCCTTAATTTCCTTCTGTGCGCAAGCGATTTAATAATACCGTGGTGTCTAACTCACAGAATCACGGGCGTGCCGCCTAGTGTTACTATTGCTTTAAAAATTGCACTTGGCGAGTTTAGAACACCATGGCATTTTATATAACTCGCCGCACTTAATAGTAAAGTCATTGTCTTTTTTTAAAAATAATTACCCTTGAAATATGCTAAGGTGCTTCTTAGTGATTTCTCTTCAGGCTTTTGTACGGCGTTCCATTCCTTGTTCTTAATTTCTATACAGTCCTCTTGCAAGTATCTTGCGAATACTAATGGCAAAAGTGAAACTCACCTTTTTTCCCCGCAAGCAGTTATTGATCAAAAGACTCCCTTAACAATGATTTCCATTCCCATACCTAATTTTCTAAAATCTTGCAATACATAGCTTTTTGTTGACTGGATAAACAGTTAAATAGCGGCAGCGGCGAGATTTGGTAATTTTTTGCTGGCTTTGGACACGTTTTGGCGGGATGGAGATTTCGCTATTCGACCGAATCCATTTGGCCTCTACTATGACATCTTCATCTACTAACAATAGTATTCCGCAACCCGTCGTCATTAAATAACGGAAATTTTTTATGTAGCCCGTTTGCACACGCTTTACATGCATAATCTATAGTCACCAAACAAATGCAGTCGTATTAGAAGATCTAACGTTTTGAACATCAAAATGCCTACCCGACTGCTGATGAATATTACCACTTACACGTTTATCGTAATATCGTCAGGCTCAGACACATTTTGGAGGCATAAGAAGACCGTCTTCTTCTCGTTATGTCATCTAAATCTACAGACGCACACACCGTCCTTTACGTTCATCTATATTAACTGTATGACTGTATATTTCAACTGTAAGTACTTTCCTTATTAGTAATAGTTGACACTACAGCAGCTCCCGCTCTGTATAGAGTATTCTTGCTCCTTGTGTAGCTCTTTGAAATATACCGATTCATAACGAAGATGTTCACACATATTCCATACAATAGGTGAAATAAATTACAGGAAATAAACGAAAGAGTCCATGCACAGTTTTGGTTCGATTTACACAGCTTTGATCAAAACATTCTCAGTTGCGAGAATAGTTTATGCTAAACCATAAGAAAAGATTTATTTAGAAGTTTAATTTTTACGCTATTTCTATTTCACTTTTTACATTTAGTTCATTTTATTTGCCGGAAAGTAAGCCTTAGAAATTAAAAGGACGTTTGATCAATTCACGCTCGCCCATTCTAGTCCTATTTTAAACTTTATAGGGGAAGGACATCTGTGAGCAGAGAATAAGTCACTTTGAAGGTCGGCGAATTCCTGTAATCGTCCATAGTTCTGCTAGTGATAAGCTAGCTGTTGAATCATTCACTCGTCTGGCTTGTTTTGGGCCGAGTCTTATTCCGGCCAAAGAGAGAGAAAGAGTGTCTGGCAAGGTTCAGCTGAAGGTTTTCAATCAAAGATTTGTGACCTCGTGTCTGGCAAACTCACTTAGTGTTAAAATATACACTGTTCTACGCACCTTATAACTTCATCTGCGCATAACGAGTGTCTTTTGGTCCATAACTTTCATAACAACTACTCCACAGAATGTCACTGATAACAAGTAACGCAAAAGAGTATCGAAGTACGACTGCACAATTAATCCACAAAATCTACCTATTGTAAGCTTTTTGTGTTTTACGTCATCCTAACCATTTCGTACTTGCAGGCGCAAACAATAGAAACGTCATCATTACCTACCGATTCCTCGCGGCCCCTGTTCAAGCAAATCGAGATTTTTTCTATATTGACTGTGTGACTGTATATTTCAACTGTAAGTACTTTCCTTAATATACGTGCGAGTTACTAGTAGAGTGCCTCCTTGGGATTTCGCGGGGGCAATAATTAATTTGCAATATACCAATTAACATTGAAGTAAATTTACGACAAAATTTTAATGGCTTACTGAGTCCATTCCAAGCATGCCCGTCAATCCTTCCGCAGTATCATTTCGGAAAGCTGCAAATGCTCATCGGCGATGGGGCCACCAGTTTCATACAATTATAATTTGAAAGAGATTTTCCTTTTTCAAAATGGTACAAAATATTACAAGCAAATTCAACAAGGAAAAATTCCCTTCTCCTGGGAAGACCTTTCATGATAAATGCCCCACCATTGGGAACACACGACGCGACAAATGCCTGACAAATGCCCCAAATATAGGGACACGCTCGGATTGACTCAACCATAAGTTGCTGAAATAAAAACGCACAAAAGAGTTTGTAAGAAATTTAAACAGAATTAAGATGATTAAGGATGAAGGAGCTTAACATGGTTTACAAACAACAGGCCTCACTAATTTAGGCGAAAAATTTCAAGTTGACAGAGCCGTGATGAAGCACGTCCCTGACAAAAGATATGATCATGACATTCCATATGCATCTATTTGCTCATCACCTACTTCGTATCTTTGTTAAAGATTTGCTCGATGGTTAAAGCGGGACAATCAGGGATTCTTAAGTACTTGCATCTTTTCATATCTTCATAGAAAGTCATGTTTTCATTCGATTTCTGGCCGTCGTCTGGCAGAGGAAATATACTAGGTAATGACTTCCATCTGTGAGTGATTGGCCTTGAGGTAATCGATAACTCTTCGTTGGGAATTTGATCTTCGTCGGCTGAATTTGTATCAGTTTCTTTGCATTTGTTGTGGTTAGCCTCACTGCAGAATTTTTTTAAACCCTCGTTGAATTTCTTTACCTTTTCACTTAACACTTCTGCGCTATCCTCAATTCGGATGACTGGAACAACGTCTGCTGAAAATCGTCTTCCTGTGTCAATACAGCTTCGCGTTGCTCCCTCATTGAATAAGCAGGCTTGGCCCATTGTAGATCTTCTTTGAAGTAGTTTAGGACTTGTAGGCTCCACACTGCGAGGTGGTTGAGGACTAACACTAAGCCTTATATTCTGAGAGGATTTGCATCTGCGTAAACCAACGTTGTCACTGCAGATGCTCATGTTCTGGTTACCACGAGAACGTTCTTTTGAAACGAGACTCTCCTCGGTTCTTGATGATGTTGCGATGCCAGCTGGAACATCGCTTTTTCGTCGCCTTAACACAGGGCTAGGCAATGTAGAGCTTGTTGGAGAAGATGGCGGTGTAAGAGAAACTCTTCCACAGTTAGCTTTGAGGCTCGGCAAGGTAAGTTTGTTTTTCTCTCTTTCCCATTTTGCCATTTCCTTTCTTTGCTGAATTTCAAGACTTGCGAGTTTTATGCTAAGCTGCGTGTTTTCTTTGCTATTCATAATTAAATTATTGGTTACCATGCTGTCTTTTTTGCCTCCGGTTCTTCCCTGCTTGGCCATCGCCATGCTTGGAGCCAATTATTAAATCTCTGCAGTTAAAGAAACCTTTGACCTGGTGTGATTGTATAGTGAAACTGGAATCCATTGAATTTACGTTCTTTTATGTGAGAAAACGAATACTTAATTTTAGTCAAACATTTTACATTAACTGTTTGCACGGTACTATTGATAACTCTAAAACAAATGACACTTTGTGACAGTTTAAGCACGACGTTGTTTGTTCTGTGAGTCAAGATATTTTCTTGACTAATTCGGCGGGATTTAAAACAAAGAGACTCGAAAGATTAGTGGCATCCAAACACTAGTACTTCGAAACAATGCCATCGACTTCGGTAGTTCTATCAGCCGTTAACTTATCTACTATCCCTTATAAATCTGAAGTTCTTTGAATTCATCGCGAAGAAAGAAACGAAAATCCCGAAGTGGATTTTTAAGGCCCCGGTAACGAAAAGTGGTGGGCCTTATGATTTGACTGAAAAACTCTCGCAATTGACGGATCGTCTGATGAAAACATCATTGCCTTTCCAGCGAGTAACGGACTGACATATTTTCCCCTGATGATGGCGGCTTTGCCAAAACATTGGGTTTTATTCATAACTTCACTGCGTTTGATCTGCAGATTTTTGTCACGTTTAATAAAAAAGACGCTTCACAGGAACTCCTCCTTAACTGGATCCGCACCCAAAGAGAAACATGAGTAATGAATCCTGGAAACCTTGACTTAGATCAGTTCCACTGAGGACACTCAGTATGTGCATGGATTCATTAGATTCAAGATGAAAGTATTTGAGAAGTGATTGACGTTAAGGGGAATTGATAAACTCTCGTTTTTTTCCTCTTTGTGGAACTATGGATGAGGCCCATTACAGATTTCGACATTGCTCTTGGCAATCAATGAATGAGAATGCAGACTTAATGTTACCGATCTTCAGCATTCATTCTTTATTCAGTGAGATGGTTTAACAGATACTACACAACACAAAAATAAATCTTTTCTTATAAATGCTTTTCTTTTTAATTTACATTTTAATTTATCACAGTGGAAAAGAGATTCCTTGTAACCATGCAAGTGAAGCAAGATCTCGCCTTCGCCTGCTGGTTCGATAGCCAGATTTTTAGCTATTATTACCTGTTAAAACGTCGTCACCCATAAACAAGAGAATATCTAACCTTTAATACTCAGTCGCATGGCAAATGAAATAAATTTGTTGAATACACTCCTGTATCAAAAAGATTCAGATTGCCGAAACCCTTTGGCAACATTCAGTCTTTCCCGCAATCAAATCATCGGTAGTATTGGGACAGTCGGCAACAAAATCATCATGTATTTCGTCTTGGAAGCGAACAGTGCGCATGCTCAAGTTAGAGTCACGTGATATAATAGCCGGTGGCATATTCCAGTCCTCTCCTTCTGGTTCCCAATCTCCTTTAGCGCTACCATTCGAAGAGACGGATATTTTGGACGTTCTGCTTTCCTTGCGGGTTTCATTACTTGCAGAGTTTTCTTCTGTTTCCGTTGGACCATTGCTGATGGTTGAGAGAGAACTCATGACTGATAGGTTTGATCTTGTGCTAATTTTCCTGTTATTTTCTTCATGTTCTTCTTCGTTCTCCAGCGTTCCCAGGCTAATGATAGTTCTATGTTCTACATTTTTCTGTGGTCGAAACACAATGACGTAAACTTTGGGCAAGAACATACAAGTTATAGTGACTGTATCAGCGACGATCAAGAATGAGCTGACCAGGATGTCTTTGTAGTAGGTCTTCGTGCCATAATAGGAAAGAAAGAACATTATCACGTCCATTGATATGGTCATCATGTTGAATGCAATAAAACGTGCTTCGTTGTAATTACCAGGCACCTTCCTTGTTAGGAAAGCCTGGTAGGTGCATATTACAACCAGTCCAGTGTTGTAACCCCACCACAAGGCCATGTTGTAATTGGTGTAGGACACCAGTTTGCATTGTATGTAGGCTTCGTTTTTCATGTCGGAGTATACAACCTCTTTAAGTCCAACATCCGGAGTAGTGAGAACAATGACAACACAGATGATTGTTTCTATGGCGACAAAACAGGAAAGGAAAACAAGCATCCACTTGTCACTTAAACATTGAGGAGTGCCTGAAATTATAAAAGGATAGATTTTTGTTATAAGATGAAGGGATTCCTGTGTTCTGATAGGTCACCTGTGCGGGCAAGCTCGGGATTTCCCGTGTTGTTCCCGAACGATTCACGTTCTCTTTTGGCCTTATAATAAATCCCTTATTGACCAAGCTTATTCAGTCAACGTTGGTGAATATTGGCCTTGTTCTTTTTTGCGTTTTTATGGACCGAGACGAAGAATTTGGCCCGAATATTTAGCTATCTTGACTTCACGCTTAGTCAATAACCCATATCAACTACGAGTTCGCATTTAGATAAATATCACGGCAGAACGAGACTGCAAAGTTTTATCGAGAAAACCTTTGAAGTAAAAAACATTAATCATAAAAGTCGGTGCAGCTCTTATTTATAGGAGCCTTGAACCTCAGATATCTGGTTTTAGAAAGCATGTTAGAGCAAAATCATTACAATTGAATTTGACGTCCCTTTATGTCTCCTTTTTTATACCCACTGCCATTTTTTTTACACGTACTATAAAACAAATAGTGAAGAAGAATTCGTGAAAATTCAAAGAAGTAGAAATTTAAAAATCTCTCAAAAACATGGATCGCCGTCGAAAGGCCTTGGGAATAATTAAATTTCTATAAATTGGATCTCTATGTTAAAGAGTCCTTCAGTATTGTCAAAAAGACGTCAAAGCACTTTTCAGTTTGCAGAAGTGACGCGGTCTTTAGACTCTTTACTGTAACAGGACTAACAGACGTAACCCACGCTTTACAGCTTACCTTTCCTCATGGCTCGTTTACTAAATATCCGGTAGATCCGATTTGTCTTGATAAACAGCGTCCCTACCACAATACAGAAACCGATGCTGAACATAAAGAGCACTCCTTCACAAAGCCTCTCTGTTCTCTCCAGTAATATCAAAATGGCTGTCAAGTACCCAATTAAAATTCCAAACAACATAACAAAGCTTAACTGTCTACTTGATGCTCGAACAATATGTGTATTTCCATGGCGCAAGAAGACAATGCCGATAGCAACGACACCTACCACACCTAACACAGCAACCACGCCAACAGCAATGCCGGCTGGGTCACTTAGCTTTACAGCAGTGGGAATTATGGGTAAGCAAGCAGTGTGATTTTCGTTTGTCCAGTAGCGGGATGGACAGCGCCTACAGGACCCGTTGACAGGATTATGAGATATCTCGTTCGTGGAACAAGGGACGCATTTCCAGCAACACCTCTGCAAGAATAAGGTGAAAAAAGGAGAAACCCATAAATTGATAAAAGGGCTAAACATGTTACAGAGAAATTTCTCAGTACCACCTTTTGGGCGGCTCTATTTTATTTTCACTAAATGTGACTCAGATATTCTGATTGAGATATGAAATGTATGGGTAAAAAGTCACTGAACAAAGAAAGATATTTCGGATGGTCGAAACACCACAATCCCACGTCTCCCAAACACCCCCCCCCCCCGACGCGGTGGGTACTTCCAAATCTCGTACTTAAATCCCACTTTTCTTTTGCTGGTTGTGGGAGATCTGGCTACGAGATTAGGCACCTAGTTACTCGGCCTAAACGGGTGTGTGCCGCTGAAAAGGGTATGGTTTTCAGGGTCTTGAATCTTAAGCAGGGTATACAATTTCACTGTTTAGCGTCCAGAACGGGGTGTTATTTCGAAACCGAAGACTAAAAGAAGTGTGAAGGTTTGACGATGAATGGTCTCAATGTGTGGTACCAACAATTTGTGTTCAAATGCGAGGCAAAATGCATCTGGAACATAAATAAGGTCTCTTGTCTTTAACAGGGTAGCAAAATGAATGATTATTGTCTTAAACAGCCCCCACCCCCCGTCCCGCTCCCCGCCCCCGCCTCGGGCAGATCAAGCAGCCTTACTTCGAGGGCGTAGTGCTTAAGAAAAGGCAAATTTCTTTCAGTGTCCATAGTATGAAAGCGATGATTTGATTTGATACAACTGTAATTAAAAAAAATACCTTGTAACGCTCTTCTGAACTCATCCAATATCCAGGGGGACACTGCTGTCCACAAAATGACGTTGGCTCAGTGGAGCTGTTGAAGACCTTCGTCCAAAGCATTCTCAACTTCGTTAGATTTAAATTAAGAAATGAAGCGTTCGCAGGAAGGTCAAGCACATTTGACGTATTTGATATCCAGGTTCCGATTGCTTCCCATTCTTCAGTCTCTATATTCACCACTGTGATGTCATAAGCACCCAATCCATTCCCGTTGGAATCAAAAGAAACTTGGTCACGTGATGCCCCCTTGAAGCGCACAGCTTGAATACTTTTGAGCAAACCATCGTCTCTTAAAAGACAAAAAAGGAAACGTTATTACAAGGGACACACAAAGCAGTTTCACCGCTTTTTACCATGTGAACTGACAGGACTTATATAAATGTTTAAATAAACTATTTTATTTTTATTATATAGCCAAAAAGGAGAACGTTTTCTTGCGGGAACACCGCGTAAAACCCCGATCGGGTAAGATGGGCCCATCTTGCTCGCTCGGGTAGCCAATCAGAACAGAGGATCCGTTTTTTCTTCCACACCCTCGGATTTAGCCAATAATTGGTTTTTATCTTCTGAGTTAATAAGTCTAATAAGGTAGATTTATAAGTGTAGGATTATTAAAACGCTAACTTTTCGAGCGCGAGCCCTTCATCAAAGTGAAACATAGACTATCTCAAAGCGCGCTTTCAAGTATTTGCTGGTTAGGTGGTTACTTGCATCGCTCGCATTCTTTCGCTTCGCGAGCGTCCATCGCGCCCGGCGCTCACTCAGTCGACTTGTGTCAAGTCTAAGTGAATCAGGGAATTGTAGGTTGAGTGTGGTTTATATACAGACATAGTGGACATACCATGAAGAACAAAAATAAATGAGTTGAGTTGAGAATTAGTTGATTCAGCAGGGAGCAAGGATGCCCATCTGAATGACAAGTTTTTGCGCTAGATTTTTCGGCTTTCCATGTTGCCTTGGTGTAGTGAGAGACCGCAGTTTGCCATGTTTTGGCTGGAATTATTTGAGAGATAATTGACTAGCTACTGGTTTCGATTTTGGCTATACGTTCACGGCTTATTCAATCCGGGTTAATCCAAGCCGCGGCTTACCTTGGACGTAAAATTGTTCGTATAAATGCACTCAAATGTTGTCCGCGGCTTGCTGAAGCCGTGAACGATTGCTGCGCATGCTCTGTATTAACCCAGACCTTCATGGCTGAGAGACGACCGCTGCAGTGGCGGGAAAATGAGTTTTGTTTACGTTTACTCCATTTAAAAAGTGGAAAACGGCGACGACGACGGATAGAGATTCATCTAAAAAAAGAAACGTATCGGGTGCCGCTGAAGAAAAGCTAATTCTGCTAATGCAGCGAACTGCGAATTTTCTTTGACAAATAATTAATTATCTGAGAACCCAACACCAATCTTGACCTAAGAGACAGTTTAAAATGAAAAGGGCAATGAGAAACGTAAGTACAGCGTTTTTTGGTGGCCAAAGCCAGTCGTTTAGCTTTTTTGATCGCTAAAGCCATTGTGGAAACAAGGAGATGCAAACGCAGTTACCCCAAAACGAGGCATCAAAGCAAACTACGTCATCATTGTACCGACCTGGTCGCGAAGTAAGCCGTGAACCATTTATACGAGCAGTTCGCGTCTTATGTAACTGAGCCGTGCTCGTATAAATGGTTCCTTTCGCGTTTTATGTTAACCGCGGACAGAGTAAGCCGTGGCTTATTTTCTCTTGTACAAACGGCCCTTATGTTTTATCATGCACGCACATGGCCCTAAATAGGACTAAATAAACTAAAAGCCACACGACGCATCAACTTGGATAGCCCGTCCTTAAGTCGGTCACATGAGTGCATAAATAAGTTTTCAAGCCTGTCAAAATGCTTCCTGCGCTAGAGAAGGTGCTACAGTCAATTTCACTAAAAAGACATATTATCTGAACAAAGCAAATATCTTCAGAGAAATTTCCCGCAACCCTCTATTATCACAGACTCGTTAATTACGAACACTGAATAACTCGCGGTTCCGGAGGGTTTTTACAATGACGGTATTAAGTGGGACTGAAATACTCTGTCAGAAAAAATAGCGTACATTGACTCGTAAAAACAGGTCAAACCGGCAAAAATAAAATTCTAACGATATACCCTCGTGCCATTTATGAGACAATAAAATGGGACAATATGAAGAAAGCACTGCCCACATTTTGAAATAAGTATTCTTCTGCCGTGGGACTGCCCACTGACATCCTTCGACCTTCGATGTTCGAATCGGGATCTGAACAATTGCTATATAAGTACTCTGAACTCTGTTGATGCCACTGAATTTAGTGTTTCGCTGGCACTTACGGGAAAGGTGTTGAAACAAATTTAAGCCCAAAAAACGCTGAAGTTTTTGTCATGTAGCTTTTAACTTAAAATTTGTCTCTTTTGCCGACAAAGGAAGTCATAGCAATTGCTTTTGGTAAAGTTTATATATTTTAATAAGTGCGACAACTTGTTAAATTAATTTACTTGGCGTTTTAATAAAAAAAGGACGGGTTTGAATATATATAATTTATGAAACAATAAAAAACATGCAGTGCTCAATCCATCTGCCTTGTAGAAACAGAGCAGCCTGCTTTTCAGAAACTTCCCATACAAAATCGAAAAATAGCGTTAATATGTATTCATTCACGGTTAGATTGTGCGCAAAAAAAATGTTAAGATCGCTAAAAAAGAAATGTACAAAGGGGGTCATTTTAATTTACAACATGTACCGTGTCATTAAAACAGGCATTGTCTTTTGTAAAACTGAATTTCAAGGAGACACTTCCCTTTTTGGAGAAAATGATGAAGAGTCGATTCTTGACGTTTGCGATTGGTAGGATTGACAACCTTGATTTTTCCTGCCGAATATCGACGCCTTGAATAAAATGTCTCGAACAGATGTCTGATTTGCAAACATCGATTCTTTGCCGAAGTTGAACTTCTCAAAAACTAAATATTTCTCTCGGGAGCACCTTGTCGATAGCGGACATGAACAATTCGATACAGAACTGAATCGTATGAAGAACTAACTCGGTTCTTGACGGCATTTTCCGTAAAAAAACCTTTTTTTGACAAGGAATGAGCTAATACGGCCCTTCGTCTGCTTCGTTCAATTTTATGAGAATCTATGTTTTCATAACCGACCTACAAAGGGGGGGGGAGATTAGTAACTTACTAATTAAGTTGCGCTTTTCTGGCCAAAATTAATGAGGTCATGCTTTCAAGAATATTTTTGTTTTTGTTTTGTTTTGTTTTTTTAACTGAGAATCTAATTTGACCCCAAAAAACGTGAATTATTCGAACGCTTTCATATTTGCGCTTTTGAAAAAGTCTCATGCGAAAGTTTCTTTTTCCCTTCGTTAGACGTCAAATATTCCCCGTGAAATTTATTCTAAGACCTATGTTTCAGTTATTTTTTTTCTCCCACCTGTTCAAAATTGGAAACTCATCCGGTGAATGTTGACAACCTTGCCCTGGAGTGCAATTCAAAAGACTATGAAGACCATAAGCCGCAGCGTACACCGCATCAACAACGTAAGGTGCATAGATCGAGTGTTCTAAAGGATCTTTCAAACGTTGTTTGTTGTATTCCTCTTTCCACGGACAGCTAACGAAGCTTTCGTTGACGCTTTGCAAATATTTCAGAAAGCTATCTACGCGTCTATGGTGCGGTGTGACTCCAATAACTCTCTTTAGCATTTCCCGAGAGCTTTGAAACCTGTTCACTGACCCTGTGAAATAATCAGTCGATATGAAAACATAGTCCTTCATTTGAGACGTATCGAAATGGCTCAATAGTATTTCCGTATCTTCTGTAGTGGTAAATAGTAATACAGCTTTGGCTTTGTTGTTTTTCTTCGCTTTTATATCGTCCAGGATACGTTTGATTTCTACATCGCCCGTATGTTTTGTGAATGTTCTTTTCACGGCCAAACACACTGTAATTTTCAGGGAGTTATAATAACTCCTCTAGTGGGGCTAATTTAACTCCTTACAGTGGAGTTATTTTTCGTGGAGTTATTTTAACTCCAAAAAGGAGTTTAAAGAACTCTTTTTCAGGAGTAAAAGTGACCCCAGATATTGAGGAGTTAAAATAACCCCCCAAAAAGAGTTATCCTGTACCTAAAATTTTTACTCCACTTTCAGAGTTAAATTAACTCCAAAAAGAGTAAAAACAACCCCTGTAAGGAGTACAAGTAACCCCATTTCGGAGTAATTTTAACTCCAAGACTGGGAGTAAAAAGAACTCTTTTTCAGGAGTAAAAATGACCCCAAATTCGGAGTTAAATTAGGAGTTAAAATAACCCCAAAAAAGGGGTTATCCTGTACCTAAAATTTTTACTCCATTTTTGGGGTTATAATAACTCCCTAAAAATTACGGTGTATATTATATATGTAAATTAATTTTATGAAATGTCATTTTTTATCATAGATATTTTTCATTAAAGAAAACCAGGGAGGAGCAGCGTGGAAGTCAACAGAAGTAAGTTTATTATTTATTTTATTTCTTGTTTTCTTCTCACTCGCGTTAGAAAGGACTTCCGGTTTTTTTTTTGTCCGAGGGGAACCGGTTCTAGTTTTGAAAGGTTCGAGTTTGCGCGGTGTCTTTCTCCTTTCAACGGCTCTCTTGGTGAGTGGAGAGGTTTTGATCGGAGCGTGTGCGAAACGGGGACTAATATGAGCCGAGTTTGGCAAGAAATTCTATTTCCACGGTTTGCAAAGTGCCTGGGACATCGTTAAGTCCGGGAAGGCTTAAATGGGCGCTCGTTGCTCAAAGAACCGAGTTCCGGGCACAATCCGAGAGACCATCCGGTGGATGGTGTATAACGTCTCTGCCCAGCTCTGCACACCGTGAAGAAGTCTCCAGCAGGCAATAAGGGGCAAATTGGTTAGTTTGGACATAAGAGAAGAGGGCCAACGAAGTTTTTGGCTGTGATTTTTGCCTCGCTGGAGACTTATAAATTGTGTTGTTATTGCCAGGATGTAATGTGTCCCGCACGAGTTGAAGACGGATTTCCCAGAATGCACTGCGAGAAAGGTTAAAAACATGTTTAATATTTGACCATTACAGTGAGACTGTTCTGTTGTTGTGTTTCAGTTTCAACGACGGAGGTGCTGATCTTTGAATAAGCGAGCAACAACGGTGAGTAGCAGGCTTTTTGCCAGGAAAGGTTATGTTACAAAGTCGTGAAAGTGTAGTTGAAATCAAAGTCTGTGGTTTCTTATAGCGAAGGTTGATTTTTGGTCATGTGTCGAGCGACTCTGGAAATTTACTGTGTCCAGAAAGAGCCGCCGTCCTACTGCACAGGCTGAATTGTCGTTCATTTTCAATTTATTGTTGGCATTGCAAGCTAAATGCTGATCGGATCGCGGAAGAGTAACTATTTTTCCTCAAAGCATGTTAAAGTTCCCGCGCTATAGCACCGTCGCGACGACGAGCGCCGTTTATGATTGATTGTCCGGAATGTTCGGTACAATGTTTTTAATCTGCTTTATGCACCGGTACGGGCGATTTATAAAACCATTGCGGGATGAAACTGATCTAGGGAAAATGATGTAGAAGAGATATATTACTTTTTAAACACGTGTTGAGGAATTTTCTTTAAACAAGGTTTTCCTTTTGTCCCTTTCTTTCAGATGTGGCCGTTGGTTTTACTCGCGCCCCTCGGAGCTGGAATATTTACTCTCTGAAATGTTTATATTATCTGTGCTCTGCTGTGGTCAAACACGAAGAAAGCGAAGCGAAACGTCTTGTAAGATAACGTTAATTTAAAACTATTGGCTTGACCAGTGTTTAGTCTTGGTTTAGTCTGTATTTCTCACCTCCTGACCCGTCTTTTGAAATTCAATCCTACGCTCAGTACGGCGATGTAATTGATATGTAACGCAACGTGATTTGGTATCCTGCCTAGAAGTCCCTCAAACGTTAACCCTCAACAAACCGTACTTCTTGTTTGTAACCTTTATCCTTATTTAACCCTAAGCCTTGGCTCAACTTTAGCTATCCACCCTAACCAGCTTAACGTAACACCCTTTTCCTGACAAGGCGAATGTTTAACTCAGTGGATCAACTCATTTGTTATGACCATTGAAATCAGTTGAGACTGCTCGTCTAACCCTAACCCCCCAACCTAACCCTAACCTATTCCTAACCCTAACCCCCAACCTAATCTGATTTCTAACCCTAACCTATCCCTAGTCCTAACCCTAACCCAACCCTAACCCCAACCTTAACCTTAACCCTAACCCTAACCCTAACTCTTCCTCCCCCTCCCCCCCCCCCCGCCTCTTACATTTAGTAGTATACAGTAAGGACTAAGTAATAGGTGCTTTTCGAAGTTAGCCTCAAAAGGCTCTTATAAATTTTCTGTTTCTTGGAAATTAAGCTGTTTAGGTTCTCAAACATTCGAGGTTCTTATTTTCTTAAGGAAAAAAGACTTTTTGGAAGAATGTTGGTGGTTTTAAATGTTTGTACAAAATGTGCATGTTGTTATGTCTAAATGACTGCAATTTAAGCCAATAGAAACTTTTTTTTGCCATTAGAATGATTAGTGGACTTTAAGAACTCCATAGCGATCTGTTTTAACATTTCTACTTCATCTGGTTCTTTCAAAATCTTAGCCTGAAGAATTCTGGTTCTTATCTGTGCCTCTCCTCTGTGTTACTAACCTGACATAATAATGAGTGACACGTGCATGTTTCACTGTACAGTATTTTTCAGATGAAATAAAATACTGATTTGGATTGTTTTTGTTGTATTGGGGGCAATTAGAGACTTAGTGAAAACTATACACTGTAATTTTCAGGGAGTTATAATAACTCCTCTAGTGGGGCTAATTTAACTCCTTACAGTGGAGTTATTTTTCGTGGAGTTATTTTAACTCCAAAAGGAGTTTAAAGAACTCTTTTCAGGAGTAAAAGTGACCCCAGATATTGAGGAGTTAAAATAATCCCCCCAAAAAGAGTTATCCTGTACCTAAAATTTTTACTCCACTTTCAGAGTTAAATTAACTCCAAAAAGAGTAAAAACAACCCCTGTAAGGAGTACAAGTAACCCCATTTCGGAGTAATTTTAACTCCAAGACTGGGAGTAAAAGAACTCTTTTCAGGAGTAAAAATGACCCCAAATTCGGAGTTAAATTAGGAGTTAAAATAACCCCAAAAAAGGGGTTATCCTGTACCTAAAATTTTTACTCCATTTTTGGGGTTATAATAACTCCCTAAAAATTACGGTGTATATTATATATGTAAATTAATTTTATGAAATGTCATTTTTTATCATAGATATTTTTCATTAAAGAAAACCAGGGAGGAGCAGCGTGGAAGTCAACAGAAGTAAGTTTATTATTTATTTTATTTCTTGTTTTCTTCTCACTCGCGTTAGAAAGGACTTCCGGTTTTTTTTTTTTTGTCCGAGGGGAACCGGTTCTAGTTTTGAAAGGTTCGAGTTTGCGCGGTGTCTTTCTCCTTTCAACGGCTCTCTTGGTGAGTGGAGAGGTTTTGATCGGAGCGTGTGCGAAACGGGGACTAATATGAGCCGAGTTTGGCAAGAAATTCTATTTCCACGGTTTGCAAAGTGCCTGGGACATCGTTAAGTCCGGGAAGGCTTAAATGGGCGCTCGTTGCTCAAAGAACCGAGTTCCGGGCACAATCCGAGAGACCATCCGGTGGATGGTGTATAACGTCTCTGCCCAGCTCTGCACACCGTGAAGAAGTCTCCAGCAGGCAATAAGGGGCAAATTGGTTAGTTTGGACATAAGAGAAGAGGGCCAACGAAGTTTTTGGCTGTGATTTTTGCCTCGCTGGAGACTTATAAATTGTGTTGTTATTGCCAGGATGTAATGTGTCCCGCACGAGTTGAAGACGGATTTCCCAGAATGCACTGCGAGAAAGGTTAAAAACATGTTTAATATTTGACCATTACAGTGAGACTGTTCTGTTGTTGTGTTTCAGTTTCAACGACGGAGGTGCTGATCTTTGAATAAGCGAGCAACAACGGTGAGTAGCAGGCTTTTTGCCAGGAAAGGTTATGTTACAAAGTCGTGAAAGTGTAGTTGAAATCAAAGTCTGTGGTTTCTTATAGCGAAGGTTGATTTTTGGTCATGTGTCGAGCGACTCTGGAAATTTACTGTGTCCAGAAAGAGCCGCCGTCCTACTGCACAGGCTGAATTGTCGTTCATTTTCAATTTATTGTTGGCATTGCAAGCTAAATGCTGATCGGATCGCGGAAGAGTAACTATTTTTCGTCAAAGCATGTTAAAGTTCCCGCGCTATAGCACCGTCGCGACGACGAGCGCCGTTTATGATTGATTGTCCGGAATGTTCGGTACAATGTTTTTAATATGCTTTATGCACCGGTACGGGCGATTATAAAACCATTGCGGGATGAAACTGATCTAGGGAAAATGATGTAGAAGAGATATATTACTTTTTAAACACGTGTTGAGGAATTTTCTTTAAACAAGGTTTTCCTTTTGTCCTTTTCTTTCAGATGTGGCCGTTGGTTTTACTCGCCCCCTCGGAGCTGGAATATTTACTCTCTGAAATGTTTATATTATCTGTGCTCTGCTGTGGTCAAACACGAAGAAAGCGAAGCGAAACGTCTTGTAAGATAACGTTAATTTAAAACTATTTGCTTGACCAGTGTTTAGTCTTCGAAAATCGCCTGTATTGAAACTACATCTCTGTATTTCTCACCTCCTGACCCGTCTTTTGAAATTCAATCCTACGCTCAGTACGGCGATGTAATTGATATGTAACGCAACGTTATTTGGTATCCTGCCCAGAAGTCCCTCAAACGTTAACCCTCAACAAACCGTACTTCTTGTTTGTAACCTTTATCCTTATTTAACCCTAAGCCTTGGCTCAACTTTAGCTATCCACCCTAACCAGCTTAACGTAACACCCTTTTCCTGACAAGGCGAATGTTTAACTCAGTGGATCAACTCATTTGTTATGACCATTGAAATCAGTTGAGACTGCTCGTCTAACCCTAACCCTCCAACCTAACCCTAACCTATTCCTAACCCTAACCCCCAACCTAATCTGATTTCTAACCCTAACCTATCCCTAGTCCTAACCCTAACCCAACCCTAACCCCAACCTTAACCTTAACCCCTAACCCTAACCCTAACTCTTCCTCCCCCCCCCCCCCCTCTTACATTTAGTAGTATACAGTAAGGACTAAGTAATAGGTGCTTTTCGAAGTTAGCCTCAAAAGGCTCTTATAAATTTTCTGTTTCTTGGAAATTAAGCTGTTTATAGGTTCTCAAACATTCGAGGTTCTTATTTTCTTAAGGAAAAAAAGACTTTTTGGAAGAATGTTGGTGGTTTTAAATGTTTGTACAAAATGTGCATGTTGTTATGTCTAAATGACTGCAATTTAAGCCAATAGAAACTTTTTTTGCCATTAGAATGATTAGTGGACTTTAAGAACTCCATAGCGATCTGTTTTAACATTTCTACTTCATCTGGTTCTTTCAAAATCTTAGCCTGAAGAATTCTGGTTCTTATCTGTGCCTCTCCTCTGTGTTACTAACCTGACATAATAATGAGTGACACGTGCATGTTTCACTGTACAGTATTTTTCAGATGAAATAAAATACTGATTTGGATTGTTTTTGTTGTATTGGGGGCAATTAGAGACTTAGTGAAAACTATACACTGTAATTTTCAGGGAGTTATAATAACTCCTCTAGTGGGGCTAATTTAACTCCTTACAGTGGAGTTATTTTTCGTGGAGTTATTTTAACTCCAAAAAGGAGTTTAAAGAACTCTTTTTCAGGAGTAAAAGTGACCCCAGATATTGAGGAGTTAAAATAACCCCCCAAAAAAAAGAGTTATCCTGTACCTAAAATTTTTACTCCACTTTCAGAGTTAAATTAACTCCAAAAAGAGTAAAAACAACCCCTGTAAGGAGTACAAGTAACCCCATTTCGGAGTAATTTTAACTCCAAGACTGGGAGTAAAAAGAACTCTTTTTCAGGAGTAAAAATGACCCCAAATTCGGAGTTAAATTAGGAGTTAAAATAACCCCAAAAAAGGGGTTATCCTGTACCTAAAATTTTTACTCCATTTTTGGGGTTATAATAACTCCCTAAAAATTACGGTGTATATTATATATGTAAATTAATTTTATGAAATGTCATTTTTTATCATAGATATTTTTCATTAAAGAAAACCAGGGAGGAGCAGCGTGGAAGTCAACAGAAGTAAGTTTATTATTTATTTTATTTCTTGTTTTCTTCTCACTCGCGTTAGAAAGGACTTTTTTTTTTTTTTTTTGTCCGAGGGGAACCGGTTCTAGTTTTGAAAGGTTCGAGTTTGCGCGGTGTCTTTCTCCTTTCAACGGCTCTCTTGGTGAGTGGAGAGGTTTTGATCGGAGCGTGTGCGAAACGGGGACTAATATGAGCCGAGTTTGGCAAGAAATTCTATTTCCACGGTTTGCAAAGTGCCTGGGACATCGTTAAGTCCGGGAAGGCTTAAATGGGCGCTCGTTGCTCAAAGAACCGAGTTCCGGGCACAATCCGAGAGACCATCCGGTGGATGGTGTATAACGTCTCTGCCCAGCTCTGCACACCGTGAAGAAGTCTCCAGCAGGCAATAAGGGGCAAATTGGTTAGTTTGGACATAAGAGAAGAGGGCCAACGAAGTTTTTGGCTGTGATTTTTGCCTCGCTGGAGACTTATAAATTGTGTTGTTATTGCCAGGATGTAATGTGTCCCGCACGAGTTGAAGACGGATTTCCCAGAATGCACTGCGAGAAAGGTTAAAAACATGTTTAATATTTGACCATTACAGTGAGACTGTTCTGTTGTTGTGTTTCAGTTTCAACGACGGAGGTGCTGATCTTTGAATAAGCGAGCAACAACGGTGAGTAGCAGGCTTTTTGCCAGGAAAGGTTATGTTACAAAGTCGTGAAAGTGTAGTTGAAATCAAAGTCTGTGGTTTCTTATAGCGAAGGTTGATTTTTGGTCATGTGTCGAGCGACTCTGGAAATTTACTGTGTCCAGAAAGAGCCGCCGTCCTACTGCACAGGCTGAATTGTCGTTCATTTTCAATTTATTGTTGGCATTGCAAGCTAAATGCTGATCGGATCGCGGAAGAGTAACTATTTTTCGTCAAAGCATGTTAAAGTTCCCGCGCTATAGCACCGTCGCGACGACGAGCGCCGTTTATGATTGATTGTCCGGAATGTTCGGTACAATGTTTTTAATATGCTTTATGCACCGGTACGGGCGATTATAAAACCATTGCGGGATGAAACTGATCTAGGGAAAATGATGTAGAAGAGATATATTACTTTTTAAACACGTGTTGAGGAATTTTCTTTAAACAAGGTTTTCCTTTTGTCCTTTTCTTTCAGATGTGGCCGTTGGTTTTACTCGCCCCCTCGGAGCTGGAATATTTACTCTCTGAAATGTTTATATTATCTGTGCTCTGCTGTGGTCAAACACGAAGAAAGCGAAGCGAAACGTCTTGTAAGATAACGTTAATTTAAAACTATTTGCTTGACCAGTGTTTAGTCTTCGAAAATCGCCTGTATTGAAACTACATCTCTGTATTTCTCACCTCCTGACCCGTCTTTTGAAATTCAATCCTACGCTCAGTACGGCGATGTAATTGATATGTAACGCAACGTTATTTGGTATCCTGCCCAGAAGTCCCTCAAACGTTAACCCTCAACAAACCGTACTTCTTGTTTGTAACCTTTATCCTTATTTAACCCTAAGCCTTGGCTCAACTTTAGCTATCCACCCTAACCAGCTTAACGTAACACCCTTTTCCTGACAAGGCGAATGTTTAACTCAGTGGATCAACTCATTTGTTATGACCATTGAAATCAGTTGAGACTGCTCGTCTAACCCTAACCCTCCAACCTAACCCTAACCTATTCCTAACCCTAACCCCCAACCTAATCTGATTTCTAACCCTAACCTATCCCTAGTCCTAACCCTAACCCAACCCTAACCCCAACCTTAACCTTAACCCTAACCCTAACCCTAACTCTTCCTCCCCCTCCCCCCGCCTCTTACATTTAGTAGTATACAGTAAGGACTAAGTAATAGGTGCTTTTCGAAGTTAGCCTCAAAAGGCTCTTATAAATTTTCTGTTTCTTGGAAATTAAGCTGTTTAGGTTCTCAAACATTCGAGGTTCTTATTTTCTTAAGGAAAAAAAAACTTTTTGGAAGAATGTTGGTGGTTTTAAATGTTTGTACAAAATGTGCATGTTGTTATGTCTAAATGACTGCAATTTAAGCCAATAGAAACTTTTTTTTTTTGCCATTAGAATGATTAGTGGACTTTAAGAACTCCATAGCGATCTGTTTTAACATTTCTACTTCATCTGGTTCTTTCAAAATCTTAGCCTGAAGAATTCTGGTTCTTATCTGTGCCTCTCCTCTGTGTTACTAACCTGACATAATAATGAGTGACACGTGCATGTTTCACTGTACAGTATTTTTCAGATGAAATAAAATACTGATTTGGATTGTTTTTGTTGTATTGGGGGCAATTAGAGACTTAGTGAAAACTATACACTGTAATTTTCAGGGAGTTATAATAACTCCTCTAGTGGGGCTAATTTAACTCCTTACAGTGGAGTTATTTTTCGTGGAGTTATTTTAACTCCAAAAAGGAGTTTAAAGAACTCTTTTTCAGGAGTAAAAGTGACCCCAGATATTGAGGAGTTAAAATAACCCCCCAAAAAGAGTTATCCTGTACCTAAAATTTTTACTCCACTTTCAGAGTTAAATTAACTCCAAAAAGAGTAAAAACAACCCCTGTAAGGAGTACAAGTAACCCCATTTCGGAGTAATTTTAACTCCAAGACTGGGAGTAAAAAGAACTCTTTTTCAGGAGTAAAAATGACCCCAAATTCGGAGTTAAATTAGGAGTTAAAATAACCCCAAAAAAGGGGTTATCCTGTACCTAAAATTTTTACTCCATTTTTGGGGTTATAATAACTCCCTAAAAATTACGGTGTATATTATATATGTAAATTAATTTTATGAAATGTCATTTTTTATCATAGATATTTTTCATTAAAGAAAACCAGGGAGGAGCAGCGTGGAAGTCAACAGAAGTAAGTTTATTATTTATTTTATTTCTTGTTTTCTTCTCACTCGCGTTAGAAAGGACTTCCGGTTTTTTTTTTTGTCCGAGGGGAACCGGTTCTAGTTTTGAAAGGTTCGAGTTTGCGCGGTGTCTTTCTCCTTTCAACGGCTCTCTTGGTGAGTGGAGAGGTTTTGATCGGAGCGTGTGCGAAACGGGGACTAATATGAGCCGAGTTTGGCAAGAAATTCTATTTCCACGGTTTGCAAAGTGCCTGGGACATCGTTAAGTCCGGGAAGGCTTAAATGGGCGCTCGTTGCTCAAAGAACCGAGTTCCGGGCACAATCCGAGAGACCATCCGGTGGATGGTGTATAACGTCTCTGCCCAGCTCTGCACACCGTGAAGAAGTCTCCAGCAGGCAATAAGGGGCAAATTGGTTAGTTTGGACATAAGAGAAGAGGGCCAACGAAGTTTTTGGCTGTGATTTTTGCCTCGCTGGAGACTTATAAATTGTGTTGTTATTGCCAGGATGTAATGTGTCCCGCACGAGTTGAAGACGGATTTCCCAGAATGCACTGCGAGAAAGGTTAAAAACATGTTTAATATTTGACCATTACAGTGAGACTGTTCTGTTGTTGTGTTTCAGTTTCAACGACGGAGGTGCTGATCTTTGAATAAGCGAGCAACAACGGTGAGTAGCAGGCTTTTTGCCAGGAAAGGTTATGTTACAAAGTCGTGAAAGTGTAGTTGAAATCAAAGTCTGTGGTTTCTTATAGCGAAGGTTGATTTTTGGTCATGTGTCGAGCGACTCTGGAAATTTACTGTGTCCAGAAAGAGCCGCCGTCCTACTGCACAGGCTGAATTGTCGTTCATTTTCAATTTATTGTTGGCATTGCAAGCTAAATGCTGATCGGATCGCGGAAGAGTAACTATTTTTCGTCAAAGCATGTTAAAGTTCCCGCGCTATAGCACCGTCGCGACGACGAGCGCCGTTTATGATTGATTGTCCGGAATGTTCGGTACAATGTTTTTAATATGCTTTATGCACCGGTACGGGCGATTATAAAACCATTGCGGGATGAAACTGATCTAGGGAAAATGATGTAGAAGAGATATATTACTTTTTAAACACGTGTTGAGGAATTTTCTTTAAACAAGGTTTTCCTTTTGTCCTTTTCTTTCAGATGTGGCCGTTGGTTTTACTCGCCCCCTCGGAGCTGGAATATTTACTCTCTGAAATGTTTATATTATCTGTGCTCTGCTGTGGTCAAACACGAAGAAAGCGAAGCGAAACGTCTTGTAAGATAACGTTAATTTAAAACTATTTGCTTGACCAGTGTTTAGTCTTCGAAAATCGCCTGTATTGAAACTACATCTCTGTATTTCTCACCTCCTGACCCGTCTTTTGAAATTCAATCCTACGCTCAGTACGGCGATGTAATTGATATGTAACGCAACGTTATTTGGTATCCTGCCCAGAAGTCCCTCAAACGTTAACCCTCAACAAACCGTACTTCTTGTTTGTAACCTTTATCCTTATTTAACCCTAAGCCTTGGCTCAACTTTAGCTATCCACCCTAACCAGCTTAACGTAACACCCTTTTCCTGACAAGGCGAATGTTTAACTCAGTGGATCAACTCATTTGTTATGACCATTGAAATCAGTTGAGACTGCTCGTCTAACCCTAACCCTCCAACCTAACCCTAACCTATTCCTAACCCTAACCCCCAACCTAATCTGATTTCTAACCCTAACCTATCCCTAGTCCTAACCCTAACCCAACCCTAACCCCAACCTTAACCTTAACCCTAACCCTAACCCTAACTCTTCCTCCCCTCCCCCCCGCCTCTTACATTTAGTAGTATACAGTAAGGACTAAGTAATAGGTGCTTTTCGAAGTTAGCCTCAAAAGGCTCTTATAAATTTTCTGTTTCTTGGAAATTAAGCTGTTTAGGTTCTCAAACATTCGAGGTTCTTATTTTCTTAAGGAAAAAAGACTTTTTGGAAGAATGTTGGTGGTTTTAAATGTTTGTACAAAATGTGCATGTTGTTATGTCTAAATGACTGCAATTTAAGCCAATAGAAACTTTTTTTGCCATTAGAATGATTAGTGGACTTTAAGAACTCCATAGCGATCTGTTTTAACATTTCTACTTCATCTGGTTCTTTCAAAATCTTAGCCTGAAGAATTCTGGTTCTTATCTGTGCCTCTCCTCTGTGTTACTAACCTGACATAATAATGAGTGACACGTGCATGTTTCACTGTACAGTATTTTTCAGATGAAATAAAATACTGATTTGGATTGTTTTTGTTGTATTGGGGGCAATTAGAGACTTAGTGAAAACTATACACTGTAATTTTCAGGGAGTTATAATAACTCCTCTAGTGGGGCTAATTTAACTCCTTACAGTGGAGTTATTTTTCGTGGAGTTATTTTAACTCCAAAAAGGAGTTTAAAGAACTCTTTTTCAGGAGTAAAAGTGACCCCAGATATTGAGGAGTTAAAATAACCCCCCAAAAAGAGTTATCCTGTACCTAAAATTTTTACTCCACTTTCAGAGTTAAATTAACTCCAAAAAGAGTAAAAACAACCCCTGTAAGGAGTACAAGTAACCCCATTTCGGAGTAATTTTAACTCCAAGACTGGGAGTAAAAAGAACTCTTTTTCAGGAGTAAAAATGACCCCAAATTCGGAGTTAAATTAGGAGTTAAAATAACCCCAAAAAAGGGGTTATCCTGTACCTAAAATTTTTACTCCATTTTTGGGGTTATAATAACTCCCTAAAAATTACGGTGTATATTATATATGTAAATTAATTTTATGAAATGTCATTTTTTATCATAGATATTTTTCATTAAAGAAAACCAGGGAGGAGCAGCGTGGAAGTCAACAGAAGTAAGTTTATTATTTATTTTATTTCTTGTTTTCTTCTCACTCGCGTTAGAAAGGACTTCCGGTTTTTTTTTTTTTTGTCCGAGGGGAACCGGTTCTAGTTTTGAAAGGTTCGAGTTTGCGCGGTGTCTTTCTCCTTTCAACGGCTCTCTTGGTGAGTGGAGAGGTTTTGATCGGAGCGTGTGCGAAACGGGGACTAATATGAGCCGAGTTTGGCAAGAAATTCTATTTCCACGGTTTGCAAAGTGCCTGGGACATCGTTAAGTCCGGGAAGGCTTAAATGGGCGCTCGTTGCTCAAAGAACCGAGTTCCGGGCACAATCCGAGAGACCATCCGGTGGATGGTGTATAACGTCTCTGCCCAGCTCTGCACACCGTGAAGAAGTCTCCAGCAGGCAATAAGGGGCAAATTGGTTAGTTTGGACATAAGAGAAGAGGGCCAACGAAGTTTTTGGCTGTGATTTTTGCCTCGCTGGAGACTTATAAATTGTGTTGTTATTGCCAGGATGTAATGTGTCCCGCACGAGTTGAAGACGGATTTCCCAGAATGCACTGCGAGAAAGGTTAAAAACATGTTTAATATTTGACCATTACAGTGAGACTGTTCTGTTGTTGTGTTTCAGTTTCAACGACGGAGGTGCTGATCTTTGAATAAGCGAGCAACAACGGTGAGTAGCAGGCTTTTTGCCAGGAAAGGTTATGTTACAAAGTCGTGAAAGTGTAGTTGAAATCAAAGTCTGTGGTTTCTTATAGCGAAGGTTGATTTTTGGTCATGTGTCGAGCGACTCTGGAAATTTACTGTGTCCAGAAAGAGCCGCCGTCCTACTGCACAGGCTGAATTGTCGTTCATTTTCAATTTATTGTTGGCATTGCAAGCTAAATGCTGATCGGATCGCGGAAGAGTAACTATTTTTCGTCAAAGCATGTTAAAGTTCCCGCGCTATAGCACCGTCGCGACGACGAGCGCCGTTTATGATTGATTGTCCGGAATGTTCGGTACAATGTTTTTAATATGCTTTATGCACCGGTACGGGCGATTATAAAACCATTGCGGGATGAAACTGATCTAGGGAAAATGATGTAGAAGAGATATATTACTTTTTAAACACGTGTTGAGGAATTTTCTTTAAACAAGGTTTTCCTTTTGTCCTTTTCTTTCAGATGTGGCCGTTGGTTTTACTCGCCCCCTCGGAGCTGGAATATTTACTCTCTGAAATGTTTATATTATCTGTGCTCTGCTGTGGTCAAACACGAAGAAAGCGAAGCGAAACGTCTTGTAAGATAACGTTAATTTAAAACTATTTGCTTGACCAGTGTTTAGTCTTCGAAAATCGCCTGTATTGAAACTACATCTCTGTATTTCTCACCTCCTGACCCGTCTTTTGAAATTCAATCCTACGCTCAGTACGGCGATGTAATTGATATGTAACGCAACGTTATTTGGTATCCTGCCCAGAAGTCCCTCAAACGTTAACCCTCAACAAACCGTACTTCTTGTTTGTAACCTTTATCCTTATTTAACCCTAAGCCTTGGCTCAACTTTAGCTATCCACCCTAACCAGCTTAACGTAACACCCTTTTCCTGACAAGGCGAATGTTTAACTCAGTGGATCAACTCATTTGTTATGACCATTGAAATCAGTTGAGACTGCTCGTCTAACCCTAACCCTCCAACCTAACCCTAACCTATTCCTAACCCTAACCCCCAACCTAATCTGATTTCTAACCCTAACCTATCCCTAGTCCTAACCCTAACCCAACCCTAACCCCAACCTTAACCTTAACCCTAACCCTAACCCTAACTCTTCCTCCCCCCCCCCCCGCCTCTTACATTTAGTAGTATACAGTAAGGACTAAGTAATAGGTGCTTTTCGAAGTTAGCCTCAAAAGGCTCTTATAAATTTTCTGTTTCTTGGAAATTAAGCTGTTTAGGTTCTCAAACATTCGAGGTTCTTATTTTCTTAAGGAAAAAAGACTTTTTGGAAGAATGTTGGTGGTTTTAAATGTTTGTACAAAATGTGCATGTTGTTATGTCTAAATGACTGCAATTTAAGCCAATAGAAACTTTTTTTTTTTTGCCATTAGAATGATTAGTGGACTTTAAGAACTCCATAGCGATCTGTTTTAACATTTCTACTTCATCTGGTTCTTTCAAAATCTTAGCCTGAAGAATTCTGGTTCTTATCTGTGCCTCTCCTCTGTGTTACTAACCTGACATAATAATGAGTGACACGTGCATGTTTCACTGTACAGTATTTTTCAGATGAAATAAAATACTGATTTGGATTGTTTTTGTTGTATTGGGGGCAATTAGAGACTTAGTGAAAACTATACACTGTAATTTTCAGGGAGTTATAATAACTCCTCTAGTGGGGCTAATTTAACTCCTTACAGTGGAGTTATTTTTCGTGGAGTTATTTTAACTCCAAAAAGGAGTTTAAAGAACTCTTTTCAGGAGTAAAAGTGACCCCAGATATTGAGGAGTTAAAATAACCCCCAAAAAGAGTTATCCTGTACCTAAAATTTTTTACTCCACTTTCAGAGTTAAATTAACTCCAAAAAGAGTAAAAACAACCCCTGTAAGGAGTACAAGTAACCCCATTTCGGAGTAATTTTAACTCCAAGACTGGGAGTAAAAAGAACTCTTTTCAGGAGTAAAAATGACCCCAAATTCGGAGTTAAATTAGGAGTTAAAATAACCCCAAAAAAAGGGGTTATCCTGTACCTAAAATTTTTACTCCATTTTTGGGGTTATAATAACTCCCTAAAAATTACGGTGTATATTATATATGTAAATTAATTTTATGAAATGTCATTTTTTATCATAGATATTTTTCATTAAAGAAAACCAGGGAGGAGCAGCGTGGAAGTCAACAGAAGTAAGTTTATTATTTATTTTATTTCTTGTTTTCTTCTCACTCGCGTTAGAAAGGACTTCCGGTTTTTTTTTTTTTGTCCGAGGGGAACCGGTTCTAGTTTTGAAAGGTTCGAGTTTGCGCGGTGTCTTTCTCCTTTCAACGGCTCTCTTGGTGAGTGGAGAGGTTTTGATCGGAGCGTGTGCGAAACGGGGACTAATATGAGCCGAGTTTGGCAAGAAATTCTATTTCCACGGTTTGCAAAGTGCCTGGGACATCGTTAAGTCCGGGAAGGCTTAAATGGGCGCTCGTTGCTCAAAGAACCGAGTTCCGGGCACAATCCGAGAGACCATCCGGTGGATGGTGTATAACGTCTCTGCCCAGCTCTGCACACCGTGAAGAAGTCTCCAGCAGGCAATAAGGGGCAAATTGGTTAGTTTGGACATAAGAGAAGAGGGCCAACGAAGTTTTTGGCTGTGATTTTTGCCTCGCTGGAGACTTATAAATTGTGTTGTTATTGCCAGGATGTAATGTGTCCCGCACGAGTTGAAGACGGATTTCCCAGAATGCACTGCGAGAAAGGTTAAAAACATGTTTAATATTTGACCATTACAGTGAGACTGTTCTGTTGTTGTGTTTCAGTTTCAACGACGGAGGTGCTGATCTTTGAATAAGCGAGCAACAACGGTGAGTAGCAGGCTTTTTGCCAGGAAAGGTTATGTTACAAAGTCGTGAAAGTGTAGTTGAAATCAAAGTCTGTGGTTTCTTATAGCGAAGGTTGATTTTTGGTCATGTGTCGAGCGACTCTGGAAATTTACTGTGTCCAGAAAGAGCCGCCGTCCTACTGCACAGGCTGAATTGTCGTTCATTTTCAATTTATTGTTGGCATTGCAAGCTAAATGCTGATCGGATCGCGGAAGAGTAACTATTTTTCGTCAAAGCATGTTAAAGTTCCCGCGCTATAGCACCGTCGCGACGACGAGCGCCGTTTATGATTGATTGTCCGGAATGTTCGGTACAATGTTTTTAATATGCTTTATGCACCGGTACGGGCGATTATAAAACCATTGCGGGATGAAACTGATCTAGGGAAAATGATGTAGAAGAGATATATTACTTTTTAAACACGTGTTGAGGAATTTTCTTTAAACAAGGTTTTCCTTTTGTCCTTTTCTTTCAGATGTGGCCGTTGGTTTTACTCGCCCCTCGGAGCTGGAATATTTACTCTCTGAAATGTTTATATTATCTGTGCTCTGCTGTGGTCAAACACGAAGAAAGCGAAGCGAAACGTCTTGTAAGATAACGTTAATTTAAAACTATTTGCTTGACCAGTGTTTAGTCTTCGAAAATCGCCTGTATTGAAACTACATCTCTGTATTTCTCACCTCCTGACCCGTCTTTTGAAATTCAATCCTACGCTCAGTACGGCGATGTAATTGATATGTAACGCAACGTTATTTGGTATCCTGCCCAGAAGTCCCTCAAACGTTAACCCTCAACAAACCGTACTTCTTGTTTGTAACCTTTATCCTTATTTAACCCTAAGCCTTGGCTCAACTTTAGCTATCCACCCTAACCAGCTTAACGTAACACCCTTTTCCTGACAAGGCGAATGTTTAACTCAGTGGATCAACTCATTTGTTATGACCATTGAAATCAGTTGAGACTGCTCGTCTAACCCTAACCCTCCAACCTAACCCTAACCTATTCCTAACCCTAACCCCCAACCTAATCTGATTTCTAACCCTAACCTATCCCTAGTCCTAACCCTAACCCAACCCTAACCCCAACCTTAACCTTAACCCTAACCCTAACCCTAACTCTTCCTCCCCTCCCCCCCTCCTCTTACATTTAGTAGTATACAGTAAGGACTAAGTAATAGGTGCTTTTCGAAGTTAGCCTCAAAAGGCTCTTATAAATTTTCTGTTTCTTGGAAATTAAGCTGTTTAGGTTCTCAAACATTCGAGGTTCTTATTTTCTTAAGGAAAAAAAGACTTTTTGGAAGAATGTTGGTGGTTTTAAATGTTTGTACAAAATGTGCATGTTGTTATGTCTAAATGACTGCAATTTAAGCCAATAGAAACTTTTTTTTTTTTGCCATTAGAATGATTAGTGGACTTTAAGAACTCCATAGCGATCTGTTTTAACATTTCTACTTCATCTGGTTCTTTCAAAATCTTAGCCTGAAGAATTCTGGTTCTTATCTGTGCCTCTCCTCTGTGTTACTAACCTGACATAATAATGAGTGACACGTGCATGTTTCACTGTACAGTATTTTTCAGATGAAATAAAATACTGATTTGGATTGTTTTTGTTGTATTGGGGGCAATTAGAGACTTAGTGAAAACTATACACTGTAATTTTCAGGGAGTTATAATAACTCCTCTAGTGGGGCTAATTTAACTCCTTACAGTGGAGTTATTTTTCGTGGAGTTATTTTAACTCCAAAAAGGAGTTTAAAGAACTCTTTTTCAGGAGTAAAAGTGACCCCAGATATTGAGGAGTTAAAATAACCCCCCAAAAAGAGTTATCCTGTACCTAAAATTTTTACTCCACTTTCAGAGTTAAATTAACTCCAAAAAGAGTAAAAACAACCCCTGTAAGGAGTACAAGTAACCCCATTTCGGAGTAATTTTAACTCCAAGACTGGGAGTAAAAGAACTCTTTTTCAGGAGTAAAATGACCCCAAATTCGGAGTTAAATTAGAGTTAAAATAACCCCAAAAAAGGGGTTATCCTGTACCTAAAATTTTTACTCCATTTTTGGGGTTATAATAACTCCCTAAAAATTACGGTGTATATTATATATGTAAATTAATTTTATGAAATGTCATTTTTTATCATAGATATTTTTCATTAAAGAAAACCAGGGAGGAGCAGCGTGGAAGTCAACAGAAGTAAGTTTATTATTTATTTTATTTCTTGTTTTCTTCTCACTCGCGTTAGAAAGGACTTCCGGTTTTTTTTTTTTGTCCGAGGGGAACCGGTTCTAGTTTTGAAAGGTTCGAGTTTGCGCGGTGTCTTTCTCCTTTCAACGGCTCTCTTGGTGAGTGGAGAGGTTTTGATCGGAGCGTGTGCGAAACGGGGACTAATATGAGCCGAGTTTGGCAAGAAATTCTATTTCCACGGTTTGCAAAGTGCCTGGGACATCGTTAAGTCCGGGAAGGCTTAAATGGGCGCTCGTTGCTCAAAGAACCGAGTTCCGGGCACAATCCGAGAGACCATCCGGTGGATGGTGTATAACGTCTCTGCCCAGCTCTGCACACCGTGAAGAAGTCTCCAGCAGGCAATAAGGGGCAAATTGGTTAGTTTGGACATAAGAGAAGAGGGCCAACGAAGTTTTTGGCTGTGATTTTTGCCTCGCTGGAGACTTATAAATTGTGTTGTTATTGCCAGGATGTAATGTGTCCCGCACGAGTTGAAGACGGATTTCCCAGAATGCACTGCGAGAAAGGTTAAAAACATGTTTAATATTTGACCATTACAGTGAGACTGTTCTGTTGTTGTGTTTCAGTTTCAACGACGGAGGTGCTGATCTTTGAATAAGCGAGCAACAACGGTGAGTAGCAGGCTTTTTGCCAGGAAAGGTTATGTTACAAAGTCGTGAAAGTGTAGTTGAAATCAAAGTCTGTGGTTTCTTATAGCGAAGGTTGATTTTTGGTCATGTGTCGAGCGACTCTGGAAATTTACTGTGTCCAGAAAGAGCCGCCGTCCTACTGCACAGGCTGAATTGTCGTTCATTTTCAATTTATTGTTGGCATTGCAAGCTAAATGCTGATCGGATCGCGGAAGAGTAACTATTTTTCGTCAAAGCATGTTAAAGTTCCCGCGCTATAGCACCGTCGCGACGACGAGCGCCGTTTATGATTGATTGTCCGGAATGTTCGGTACAATGTTTTTAATATGCTTTATGCACCGGTACGGGCGATTATAAAACCATTGCGGGATGAAACTGATCTAGGGAAAATGATGTAGAAGAGATATATTACTTTTTAAACACGTGTTGAGGAATTTTCTTTAAACAAGGTTTTCCTTTTGTCCTTTTCTTTCAGATGTGGCCGTTGGTTTTACTCGCCCCCTCGGAGCTGGAATATTTACTCTCTGAAATGTTTATATTATCTGTGCTCTGCTGTGGTCAAACACGAAGAAAGCGAAGCGAAACGTCTTGTAAGATAACGTTAATTTAAAACTATTTGCTTGACCAGTGTTTAGTCTTCGAAAATCGCCTGTATTGAAACTACATCTCTGTATTTCTCACCTCCTGACCCGTCTTTTGAAATTCAATCCTACGCTCAGTACGGCGATGTAATTGATATGTAACGCAACGTTATTTGGTATCCTGCCCAGAAGTCCCTCAAACGTTAACCCTCAACAAACCGTACTTCTTGTTTGTAACCTTTATCCTTATTTAACCCTAAGCCTTGGCTCAACTTTAGCTATCCACCCTAACCAGCTTAACGTAACACCCTTTTCCTGACAAGGCGAATGTTTAACTCAGTGGATCAACTCATTTGTTATGACCATTGAAATCAGTTGAGACTGCTCGTCTAACCCTAACCCTCCAACCTAACCCTAACCTATTCCTAACCCTAACCCCCAACCTAATCTGATTTCTAACCCTAACCTATCCCTAGTCCTAACCCTAACCCAACCCTAACCCCAACCTTAACCTTAACCCTAACCCTAACCCTAACTCTTCCTCCCCCTCCCCCCCTCCTCTTACATTTAGTAGTATACAGTAAGGACTAAGTAATAGGTGCTTTTCGAAGTTAGCCTCAAAAGGCTCTTATAAATTTTCTGTTTCTTGGAAATTAAGCTGTTTAGGTTCTCAAACATTCGAGGTTCTTATTTTCTTAAGGAAAAAAGACTTTTTGGAAGAATGTTGGTGGTTTTAAATGTTTGTACAAAATGTGCATGTTGTTATGTCTAAATGACTGCAATTTAAGCCAATAGAAACTTTTTTTGCCATTAGAATGATTAGTGGACTTTAAGAACTCCATAGCGATCTGTTTTAACATTTCTACTTCATCTGGTTCTTTCAAAATCTTAGCCTGAAGAATTCTGGTTCTTATCTGTGCCTCTCCTCTGTGTTACTAACCTGACATAATAATGAGTGACACGTGCATGTTTCACTGTACAGTATTTTTCAGATGAAATAAAATACTGATTTGGATTGTTTTTGTTGTATTGGGGGCAATTAGAGACTTAGTGAAAACTATACACTGTAATTTTCAGGGAGTTATAATAACTCCTCTAGTGGGGCTAATTTAACTCCTTACAGTGGAGTTATTTTTCGTGGAGTTATTTTAACTCCAAAAAGGAGTTTAAAGAACTCTTTTTCAGGAGTAAAAGTGACCCCAGATATTGAGGAGTTAAAATAACCCCCCAAAAAGAGTTATCCTGTACCTAAAATTTTTACTCCACTTTCAGAGTTAAATTAACTCCAAAAAGAGAGTAAAACAACCCCTGTAAGGAGTACAAGTAACCCCATTTCGGAGTAATTTTAACTCCAAGACTGGGAGTAAAAGAACTCTTTTTCAGGAGTAAAAATGACCCCAAATTCGGAGTTAAATTAGAGTTAAAATAACCCCAAAAAAGGGTTATCCTGTACCTAAAATTTTTACTCCATTTTTGGGGTTATAATAACTCCCTAAAAATTACGGTGTATATTATATATGTAAATTAATTTTATGAAATGTCATTTTTTATCATAGATATTTTTCATTAAAGAAAACCAGGGAGGAGCAGCGTGGAAGTCAACAGAAGTAAGTTTATTATTTATTTTATTTCTTGTTTTCTTCTCACTCGCGTTAGAAAGGACTTCCGGTTTTTTTTTTTTTTTGTCCGAGGGGAACCGGTTCTAGTTTTGAAAGGTTCGAGTTTGCGCGGTGTCTTTCTCCTTTCAACGGCTCTCTTGGTGAGTGGAGAGGTTTTGATCGGAGCGTGTGCGAAACGGGGACTAATATGAGCCGAGTTTGGCAAGAAATTCTATTTCCACGGTTTGCAAAGTGCCTGGGACATCGTTAAGTCCGGGAAGGCTTAAATGGGCGCTCGTTGCTCAAAGAACCGAGTTCCGGGCACAATCCGAGAGACCATCCGGTGGATGGTGTATAACGTCTCTGCCCAGCTCTGCACACCGTGAAGAAGTCTCCAGCAGGCAATAAGGGGCAAATTGGTTAGTTTGGACATAAGAGAAGAGGGCCAACGAAGTTTTTGGCTGTGATTTTTGCCTCGCTGGAGACTTATAAATTGTGTTGTTATTGCCAGGATGTAATGTGTCCCGCACGAGTTGAAGACGGATTTCCCAGAATGCACTGCGAGAAAGGTTAAAAACATGTTTAATATTTGACCATTACAGTGAGACTGTTCTGTTGTTGTGTTTCAGTTTCAACGACGGAGGTGCTGATCTTTGAATAAGCGAGCAACAACGGTGAGTAGCAGGCTTTTTGCCAGGAAAGGTTATGTTACAAAGTCGTGAAAGTGTAGTTGAAATCAAAGTCTGTGGTTTCTTATAGCGAAGGTTGATTTTTGGTCATGTGTCGAGCGACTCTGGAAATTTACTGTGTCCAGAAAGAGCCGCCGTCCTACTGCACAGGCTGAATTGTCGTTCATTTTCAATTTATTGTTGGCATTGCAAGCTAAATGCTGATCGGATCGCGGAAGAGTAACTATTTTTCGTCAAAGCATGTTAAAGTTCCCGCGCTATAGCACCGTCGCGACGACGAGCGCCGTTTATGATTGATTGTCCGGAATGTTCGGTACAATGTTTTTAATATGCTTTATGCACCGGTACGGGCGATTATAAAACCATTGCGGGATGAAACTGATCTAGGGAAAATGATGTAGAAGAGATATATTACTTTTTAAACACGTGTTGAGGAATTTTCTTTAAACAAGGTTTTCCTTTTGTCCTTTTCTTTCAGATGTGGCCGTTGGTTTTACTCGCCCCCTCGGAGCTGGAATATTTACTCTCTGAAATGTTTATATTATCTGTGCTCTGCTGTGGTCAAACACGAAGAAAGCGAAGCGAAACGTCTTGTAAGATAACGTTAATTTAAAACTATTTGCTTGACCAGTGTTTAGTCTTCGAAAATCGCCTGTATTGAAACTACATCTCTGTATTTCTCACCTCCTGACCCGTCTTTTGAAATTCAATCCTACGCTCAGTACGGCGATGTAATTGATATGTAACGCAACGTTATTTGGTATCCTGCCCAGAAGTCCCTCAAACGTTAACCCTCAACAAACCGTACTTCTTGTTTGTAACCTTTATCCTTATTTAACCCTAAGCCTTGGCTCAACTTTAGCTATCCACCCTAACCAGCTTAACGTAACACCCTTTTCCTGACAAGGCGAATGTTTAACTCAGTGGATCAACTCATTTGTTATGACCATTGAAATCAGTTGAGACTGCTCGTCTAACCCTAACCCTCCAACCTAACCCTAACCTATTCCTAACCCTAACCCCCAACCTAATCTGATTTCTAACCCTAACCTATCCCTAGTCCTAACCCTAACCCAACCCTAACCCCAACCTTAACCTTAACCCTAACCCTAACCCTAACTCTTCCTCCCCCTCCCCCGCCTCTTACATTTAGTAGTATACAGTAAGGACTAAGTAATAGGTGCTTTTCGAAGTTAGCCTCAAAAGGCTCTTATAAATTTTCTGTTTCTTGGAAATTAAGCTGTTTAGGTTCTCAAACATTCGAGGTTCTTATTTTCTTAAGGAAAAAAAGACTTTTTGGAAGAATGTTGGTGGTTTTAAATGTTTGTACAAAATGTGCATGTTGTTATGTCTAAATGACTGCAATTTAAGCCAATAGAAACTTTTTTGCCATTAGAATGATTAGTGGACTTTAAGAACTCCATAGCGATCTGTTTTAACATTTCTACTTCATCTGGTTCTTTCAAAATCTTAGCCTGAAGAATTCTGGTTCTTATCTGTGCCTCTCCTCTGTGTTACTAACCTGACATAATAATGAGTGACACGTGCATGTTTCACTGTACAGTATTTTTCAGATGAAATAAAATACTGATTTGGATTGTTTTTGTTGTATTGGGGGCAATTAGAGACTTAGTGAAAACTATACACTGTAATTTTCAGGGAGTTATAATAACTCCTCTAGTGGGGCTAATTTAACTCCTTACAGTGGAGTTATTTTTCGTGGAGTTATTTTAACTCCAAAAGGAGTTTAAAGAACTCTTTTTTCAGGAGTAAAAGTGACCCCAGATATTGAGGAGTTAAAATAACCCCCCAAAAAGAGTTATCCTGTACCTAAAATTTTTACTCCACTTTCAGAGTTAAATTAACTCCAAAAAGAGTAAAAACAACCCCTGTAAGGAGTACAAGTAACCCCATTTCGGAGTAATTTTAACTCCAAGACTGGGAGTAAAAAGAACTCTTTTTCAGGAGTAAAAATGACCCCAAATTCGGAGTTAAATTAGGAGTTAAAATAACCCCAAAAAAGGGGTTATCCTGTACCTAAAATTTTTACTCCATTTTTGGGGTTATAATAACTCCCTAAAAATTACGGTGCAAATATTCGCACCCGATGAAGACCCAAGAACATGTTCGAATGTTTCGACAGCTGATCTTCCGTAATCCGTGTCGGAATATAGAACATGAACGAAATTCCATTTCAACATGCGCAACAGATCTACAACCGCTCTTGCCATGAGGCTGTCAGATGAAATTGTGCGCAGAAAATATTTAAAACGATTCCGATTGCTAAGAAGTCTGCTCGACGAAGAGTAACCAACAACCGGAACGTAAAACAAGCCAGCAAAGTTAGTGACCGCCATAGCTATATCACTAGATCCAACACCAATAATTGCTACAGTTTTAGGGTCGGACGATTCAACGCTCTTTACACGTTCGCACATACCATTTTCCATGTTTCTTTTGACAAAACTAAAGTTCAGGCATTTTCGTATAGCAAAATCGACAGTGCTGCATGTATCTTCGATGTCTGCTCCAATGGTGATACCAGGAAGAATTTTCAAGCTTTTGTTGATCTGTTGCAAGGCGTAAACCATTGCCAGGGCTTCTTCAAAGCCTCGAATGTTAAACTTGCCTTGGCAAAGCTGCGAGGAGGAATTATTTTGAGGAGCGTAGTGTATGGGAAACAAACCGGCAAAGATAAACGTCCCGTTTATAAAGATTTCATGGCGATTATAGGTGGCGCTACTAAGTTGATCTGTTCTACAGTCGTTTGCGCTCGACAACGGCAGAATCGAATTAGCTGTTTGAACAAGCAGCCATAACAGGTCTAACCGTCCACGTAAGTGTTTCATCTTACATGAAAACCTACAGCAGTCAAAGATTGTCAAGAATACGTCGTAGGTCGCTGATATGGCGAGTAAAGTTAAGCTACAGTTTGTGGTGTACACAGTTTGCAGGTGTTAAAATAAGGCGCAGTATCACCTCAAAAAAATTAACGGCGACAACCAATTTAAACAGTTCTACTCTCTTATTGGCCGATTACATGATAAGTTATCAGAAACCACATGGCCTGTTTATGACGGGATAGATAAAATTGCCCGGTTTTTGCCACAGTAACTAAACAAAATAACCACAATGGCGATTGAAGGTGTCAAGTGAACTTCACAGGAAAGTGACAGAGATTGAAATGGAAATGTGATTTAAAATTTTAATATAATGTCGTCCCGCCGCGCTTAAAGATAGTCAGAGGGAGGCTTTTCAACAAGTACATGTCATGAATGCGACATTTTTATTTAGTTATTGGACTCGCTGAGAAAGTAAACAAAGCCGCGGTTTGCAGTGTAAAATTGTGTTGTTTCGCTAGGTGCACTAAAATTGCTATCAAATTTTTACTTAGCCGTTTTAATTGCCTCTTTGATTGGACAATGTTGTCTCTCTTTTCAAAGAAAGGCAAATAATGGAGCGTGTTTGTTTAGAGAACATAATGCAAAACTTCATCTCGGGCTAGAAAAAATGAAATATCGCGCAGCTGTTTTACAGTACGGTCAGTACAGTCAACTGTTAGGAAGACTTTACAGTTCTGAATGCCTTAATTTAATGTGACTTCTCTTAGCTCATGCTGGAATCAATTTACACGACCCACTATAACTTCTATAGTAAGGAAAATTCAGCAAAACAAGTCACTGATGGTATCATAACGCCATTGAGTGAAAAAGAAATTGGTCAGGCAAGGAAAACAAAAAAGATATATTCACACTCATTTCTTTTCAAGGCATTCAATTCGATTTACAAGGCATTCAATTCGATCGTTAAACTGAAGTTGTTGTTTGCAGAGAACAATAGCAACGAGAAATATATGAATTTGTAGAAATCGCTGTTTTCGCTTGTCAAGCCTTTTGTCACGTGTCTGCTGTTCTAGGTATGCAACAGAGTAGGACTGGGAGAGAAAGAGGTTATGATATTCTTATTTTCTATTTTTTGGTATTTCACCAATGTGCAGTGTACGTCCAGTCTCGCTGAATTAGATTACGGGCCGTAAATGGGTTGTCTCCACCCTGCCTTTTCCCCTCTCTTAGCATTTTTTTAGATGGCCACGACCGTCGCTAACTTTTTGCTCGGCGCTTATCTATTCTTGGTAAAGAGAAGACCTGCCACTATATAGATTTCTTCACGCCACTGGTAAGTACCTCTTGCCATGCCTTATCTTCATTCATTTTAGCGAGGTATGGGAGCGAAGGCACGCTGTTAGATCATATCTCAACTTCCCATAAGACTGAATGTTAGCCAAACTCTCCGCCATTGGGGAGCTAAGATCATATCTACCTACAGTCTTAAAAACATCCCGCCTGGTACATACGCCGCAGAAAAAGACCTTGAGGTGTGGATTATACACACAAAGCCACGCGCACCAACAAACTACTTGAATGCATCAAGAGAAACGCGAGGTTCATTCTTGTAACCGCAGCAAGATGCAGTCTGTTAATCTTTGGATTAGGAAGTCCTGGGACACACCACTCCAAATTCAGGCAACGCAGACAACAGCGGCAGTCTACTGAAATTGCAGGGGCACCCAACGTCAATTTTCGGAAAATATCTGTTCGGAAGACGATTTGAGATCTAGGATTTTCGGAACATTTGTTGTAAAATTTCTTGCTTGCCTGCCTCTCCTAGAATTTTCGAACATCTAAAAAATGATATAATTGCCCATTTTTCACGGATTTTTACCCTAAAAAGGTCACCTAGAGTTTCCGGGAGCCTTTTTTGTGGCTGAAATTTTCGAAAAGGTAAGTTTTGATCCCTATAATTTTCGGATCACTAGCATTTCAGCGAGGAAATCTGAACAGATGAAAACTTTTAAGGGGATAAAAATATGCCTATATCTACCGTTTAAATACTAAGATACGTTTAACAATGTTTTGAACTATATTCTCGTTGAGTGCCCCTGAACTTGTTGGTAAACTTAACGCCATTAAACGACGTGTAACAAGGTCTATTTTGAATTTGCCTAATCAGCTCCAACTTCAATTCTCGTCAAATCAGTCCGATTTTGGAAAAAGAGGACCTCTTATAGTCGCAAATACGACCTAAAAGGAGATCTCTCTTCGTTAGACCAATGATCTTTTAAGTCCCCATCCTTGCAAGGCATGTTAAGTCAATGACTAGTGAAAGTCTCTGTGGGGACATAGGGAGTTGGTAAAGAGAGAAAGTGTCAGGGAGAGCGAAAGGGGATCCTCGGAGACCCAAGAGGCAGTCAGTTGGATCAGGGGAAAAAGCAAAGAAAGTTTTCACGCAATGATTAATTCGCCTTCCGAGCGCGACGAGAGACTCTAGAGGAAGAGACCTGGTAACTAGATTCTTTAACTCCTCCCCAGCTTTCCCCATCCTGATTGTGTCCTGGTAGCGCCTCTTGGAATCGACGTTTCTACGAAAAGAAAGTTGAGTTAAATCTCACCGTAGCTGGTCCTTGTAGAGAGCAATCAGTCTTGATGTCGTTTTTTGAAGCATTTGATGAAGTCTGAAGTCAGTCGAATGATTCAGGGTTCCTGTGGGCCGGTTCGTGTAGTATACCAGCGCAAATATGGCGTTCCATGTCAGCAAGAACAGCATTCTTAGCACTTTAGATCCGGCTTACATCGAAGATGGAAGACAAGATATTTATGAGTGGAGCGAAAAAAGAAGGTCAAAACGTCAAGGAGTTAAAGGCAAATTTTACCACTTCCAGAAATTATTCATTGACAAAACCGTAAGTGAACTCTCTAACTAATATCAATTTGAATTGAAACTGAATTTTGGTAATTTATGTAATTGTTTGCCGGCCACTGCTATCATATTTTGTAGGTGATAAAAACATTTGCGCAAAATCTGACGGTAATAGTTCTTCTTCAAATGGCCCTGGCAGGTGCGTATAACAGTCGTCTTCAAGCTGTTTAGTAGCGGTAATCTTGTATCAAACCGGTTGTTCAGAACACCGAGTTCTCAATTTGTTTTAAGTAATTGACTCGATTTGGCAATGTAAAAACTCATTTCTTTAATATATTCATCGCAGCTTTCTGTGATCGACTTTCTTCTGGTAGACACTGTACATGCTGAATTTGAACACTTGTGGATGAAAATCATGTTACGTTGGCAATAGACCTTGTCACGGTTTTTTTCAACTTTTGACATGGTTAACACCACTGACAAGAGCACCTTAAGATTAGTATAGCTCCTCAAAGTCGCAAAATTTTACAGACGTTTTGTATGATGGGGGGCTCAAACTTGTCCCCACCATAATAACGTCTGTAAAGGTTCATAACTTTGCGGAGCTATATCTTTGCTCGCTTAAGACGTGTTACTTTAAAATTTAGCAATTTTCTAACATTAAGGCACTTTTTCCAGTGGTGTCAATGGATTGTCCCTAACTTGTCCATGACAATAGCTGGAAAAACTGTGAAAAGGACTATTACCTGCCACTTAACGTTTCCTTCCAGTGTATGCATCATGCATGAACCTTGATGCAAATTGAAATCTTGTTTTTAACATTGACAACTCCCATCCAGTACCTTCACAGCAGTACTGCAGAACATGTAATGTTAATGCACCTATCAATGTAATGCCGGCGGGGGGGGAGGCAGGGCATAGGGTGGGGATTTGACTTTTTTCAAAAATTTCCAATCAAATTCCCTGCCCACGGGCAAATCATTCCAGTCAAATCCAACCAAATTTCCCCACCCCAGGCTGCACATTGCTGTCAATCCCAAGGCAGAACCTAAGAAAGACACAATAAAAATATCTCCAAATAAAACTCTGCAATCTTTTATAAACGTTGCTGTATCACCAAAGATAAATGCTCCTGTTACAGCTGCAATTATACCTTTTAACCATAATCCGTGTTACACTGCGTAGAATACATAAACCTTTAGGAGAAAGTCCACATTTTGTAAGTCTAAATATACCGTTCTTAGTAAAGGGTACAAAGAAAGTCAGTTTTATAAGTTTACCGTGATTGTAGCAAATGAGCCATACACTAATCAACTGTACTTGCAAAAATCAACTTGGTTTCTCTTTACTTCCGTTTACTTTGATACCACAGTATATTAAGAGGTTCAATTGATCAAAAACACGCTAAAACAAACAAAATTTGAAGAGAAAACAGTGAAATCCACTCAGCCTTCGCTTGTTCTCATTGGTCTCCATGACTTCTTGATCTTTTCAAACCGTATGGCGCACGTGTGAAGCGGGAAACATATGTTCGGTCTCAGTCTTTTTCGTCCGACTTGGCAGTCAAATATCTCCACGTCGGGCGAAGAAAGATTCAAATATCCCTTCCCCCGGGAGAACAAGATCGGTCAAATGCCCTACCCCAGGGACAACAAAGACAATCAAATCCCCACCCCATGCCCTGCCTCCCCCACCGGCATTACATTGATAGGTGCATAATACATGTATCTCAGTTCAGTTATTCTCATAATCAGTCCCTTATTACCCTCCCTCCCTTCCTCTCCCCCCCATGGATGAGGTACTTTAGGGACATTTTGGTGGGGGACTGTGCCTTCAAGGCCTTTAAACCTCACCTTGTTCAAGATTTAAAGAACATGCAGTGTTAAAATTTGCTATTTGTCTTGTTCTCTGTTTTACATACCGAAAGCATTTTGTTGTAGATGAAACTGAAATACAATTACATCATATTTAACGAAAATGGTAACCATGCATACAGATTGTGTGCTGTCAATTTTTGTACCCTGTTGTCAAAGAAAGACACCCTGTTTAAAGTGCCCATAACCCATAGGCAATATCTTTCTTTTCAAGAAGTAGAAACATGTGACAGGCAAAAACAAGCAACAAAACATGGGATTTGAGCTCAATCTCAATTTTTAACAAGCGATCAAAATCCCGGTTCACGAAGTAAAAAACGCGCCTTATGGGGAACTGGGCCAAGTAGCCTGTGATGTCAACCTGGTATCTCGGCAATAACAAGATTGGCTACAAGATACCGGGTTGACGTCACAAGCATTATTTTAGTGCCCAGTCTCTCAATCTCTCTTTTTTGAATAAATACGGCGGGAAATTAGCCTCAAAGTGCTGATTTCGTGATAAAAGTGTGTTGAAACGCAAAATAACGTTTATTTCTTCGCAAAAATACTTTAAACTACATAAATGTTTGAAATTTAATGTAACTGAATACTGGTGATAGGCACTTTAAGACACTAAATATTGAAAATGTATACCCTTTTGAAAAAGACTTGATCAATACCCCAAATACCACAGGACATAGCAAGAATCAAATGATTGCCTCCCTAACATGCTTCTCCCCACCTCTTTTCTTTGGTGCTTTAGAAATGGGGGTAATTTGTATATTTTTGGTAGAGGTGTGCTGATGGCACTATGAAATTCTTGTCAGAATAGGAGAATGGCCATTTATTTCTCTGACATTTAGACCTATTGGTTGAAACATACGTGTAGAGCTTGGAAACCATTTCTTTTATGATAGTCAAACCTATTGCCAGTTTAGCCCCAAACCTTAGATTATCTTGACCTGTAATCTTAAACAAATGTCTGAAATTACAGACCATTCATTTTGGACATTAGCATGGGACAAAGGAAGAAGTGTAAACTAGCCTGTGAATGCAGACATATCTTCAGTCATCTCTACTCTCCAAATACGTCTGCTCTTGCAGGTTAATTGTAAACCAGAAATGAAAAATTACTTCTCTTTCTTGTTCACCTTTTTATTGAACCATGTGTGTGTTTTATATTATCTTTGGTTCTCCTTTCACAGCAGAGTAACATCCTTCATTTATCTATCCTTCCCCCAAAAGGAGGTTAACCCTTATAGTCACCAACATCAATTTTCTCCTAACAATCTCCATACATTGTCAAGAGAAATGGATATGAGAATTAATAAAATGATCAGCAAAGAGATCAAAATATTATTTGGATCTTTTATTAAACTCTCTTATCTTCTTCTTTTTGGAAACATATGAAGATGAGTCTGGAGAATTTGTATGTGGATATTGGGCCTTAGCCCGGGGTACTCTGGATTTCTAGTGATAGGGATGATTGAAGAATTTTTCGGGGAAGAAAAATTTTGGCAAGTATTTTTTTGCATAGCTTGATTTAAGTAGGAATTTTTCTGGGTATTCAAAACTAATGTTTCTATTTTTCGTGTTATATCATTTAATGCTTTCTCAAAAATTTTATGGCTCGGAAAGGCGGCATGGTATTTTTAGGGGGGTTAAATTTTGGTGCAGGGATTTTTTTGGGTTTTGAGTTTTGCCCCCATTCAATCATCCCAGTCACTTGAAATCAGGAGTACCCACACCCACCCACCCCCCGGGGGGGGGGGGGCCTAGAGGGTTTAGAAAAGGTTATGTTTCTTATATTGCAAAGGTTATACCCCTTCTTGAAATCTAACATTGTGGGGTGGATCCAGGTTTTTAGCATAGGGGGTTTGATGAAAGGGGGCCACCTTTGTGGGGGGGTCTGGGGGCATCCTGAAATTCCAATCTGAGGCAAAGTCAGTGTGTCTTAATATCTCATTTTTTTAAGTGAAAATGCCATTCTTTTCTCATTTAAGATTGACTGTATTTATTTTACATCTTTACAAGTTTTTGACGTTAGCTGTTTTAATTTACGGGGTTTGATTCAAACCCCCTGAGCCCCGTCTAGATCCATCCCTGAGATTACTTTAATAGGTACTGATATTTTCACTCTTTTTTTTCACAGCACTTGCAACATTTCTTTGTCAGAAATTGGGTAAGTAAATATTATTTATAACCATGATAGATGCGTGCTTTAGATTGTAAATCATGTATTAATGGCTTGACTCAGTGATGTAACAATTAAGCCTTGTTTCCATTCTGTCAATGACCACCTGCTATCTTAATCTCATTCAGTGACTTCTTTCTTGGGAAATCGCAAACCTTGATCTGCAGTTTGCAGTTACACGTTGGCAGTTTCACATTGTCAGGATTTTGAATTTTAGCAAAGCATCTGTTGCTTACTGCTGCCATTTTGTTTTTCGTCAAGTTGCAGTGTTTCACTTTTATTGCCTGAAGAACATAAAGAATTCATTGATTCAAATGCAAAAATCTAACTTTAAACGAGAGGCTGTACAATTTTTAATGGCAGAAAAACCTTGCTGTAAATCGCTTACCACTGGAAGCTCTTCCTGCTATTCAAACATGAACTGCAAACTGCAAATGCAACTGCAAGACTGTGGTAATGTGACATCCTCAGGTTTGCTGTTTGATATTAACCATGAAAAACCTGATGCTTAAAGTCTCCAATAAGTCACATAGCCAACTTAAAATTCAAAAGTTATTTTTGTTCTCAAACTGCCACCAGTGCATAAAACTGAAGGTCTATAAAATTACCATGAAAAGCTTGTCTTGTTTTTGACAGATAAGAAGGTGATTGGTAGTTGTTCTTGAGAAAGTGTAATATAATCATTATGCCACAAGTGTGGGACATGAGCAGGATAATTTACGACAGTTAACAAAATTATGCAACTGTCAGCATGCACCAGTGTGTAATCATCTCATTATGGTTGTCTGCAGTAGAAGGTTACTAAGCACAAAATAGATGTTAAGAGCAACTCTAGATTCTTGTCCTTGAGTGCTCAGCAAACCTTCCAAGGGCATCCATACCTTGGCAGTTGCACAACAGCAGTATAACTCTTTAACTTGCAAACTTGGTTGTACAGATGACACTACTGCTGTGAGTTTGTGCTAGCTTTCATTCATTCATTTATTTTGTTATTAACCACATAAAATATATTTACTATTAATGCAATAATTTGATAATCTCTTAAAGATGTTAGACACCATTCTAAATAATTTATTTTACAAATGTTCAAAATGGTAATGACAGGGAAGCCTATATAGAATTTGGCAGTTTATGAACTATAGGCTTTCTAAGAAAATAGAGTACACCGTGCATACTGGATAAAAATGGATTATCGTAAAATTAAAGGAAAGTATGTAGCTTAACAAAGACTGTGCGACTAAGAAGGAAGGTATTTTTTCAAGTCAAAATTTGCCAAACAAACTGATACTTTCATCAGTGCTACGACAACTGGACTCATAGTTGAGAAATTGACCAATAGGGGTGCATGCTTTACCTTTGTTTAAATGTTATAATATGCACATCTTTTTCTTCCAGTGCAGTATTCACTATACAGCTACTTCATTATCTGAGAAATTATGCTGTTATATCATTTGAGGCAAATACATGTAGATGAAGGAAAGCTTTCACCACATACATGTGATGTGTTGTTCTTTTCAATTGACAGGATTGGATTTTGATGTCCATATGAGCATCTTTGTTTCACCAATTGTATTTCCTTTGGCTTTCTCTATTAATGGTAAGGAGTTAGAATCAAGAGCTGAAAGTAGTTAACATAACCTTTTTGTGAATGAAGTTACACTTCACAAAACCCCATAGCAAGGCATTTCCTGTTTAATTTCCTTCTTTTCAAGCACAGAAAATAAAATCAGATTCCTGGGATATGAGGGGATGTAGGAGTTTCAGAAATTTTATCACCCAGCACATGATGTAGGCCATGTTAAGCCGTCCCCAACTGTTATTTTTCCTTCTTCAAGAGGGTATTAGGCTATGCATTAAGACAAACAATCGGGACAAAATTATTTGAGACACTTTGTCCTAGAGGCCTTTCTAACATTTTGCCAACTTCAAAAAGAGAAAATAAAGCTTTCCCTCCCTACCCCCTCCATGCAATGTTGTGCCACTGTTTAAGTTACCTGTACAAAACAACAAATACCCCAACTTTGAACGGAGGGGAGAGGGAAGGGGTGTGAATTTTTTTGTTCTTGAAAGTTACCCCATTGTAGCAATTTTGTCACTGCATTTGCAATAATTAAAGTTGATTGTGGCAAGTCACAATTTTGTACTTAAATATTGACCAACAAATTTGAAAGACACATTGCGTTGTCGTGATTTTAACTTTTATTTCATATGATGGTTTCCAGCTGACTTCCAAAGGCGTGAAAGAGTTCTTGAAGACTTAGCACAATTCAAGGGTGCTCTAGTCATACTGTTTTTCTGTCACAGGGACTGGCTTCAAGCTTCAGGTAACTTGTACAGTAGATATGATTTATAAATAGTACAGTTACAGTGATATTCAGGTGTCAAAGTATCCATAGGTAGTGTAGTAAGACTGATTGATTGATTCACTTTTATTTGAATACGGTAATTTCATAAGTTACATAACTTCTTTACATGAAAGCCGTATAGAAACAGAAGTAAATACTGTACAACTACACTAAAAATATGTACAAATAATAAAATATAGTAAAATGTAGTCAACAGTTTGCCTGCCTACTAGCCAGTTTTCTTTTAAAGATAGCTTTAGATTCGGACGATTTTATGTCATTTGGTAAAGAATTCCACAGCATTCCTCCTCTGTATGAGAAAGACCCCTTATAATATTCTGTTTTTGGAACGTGGTCCAGTACAACATTATATTCCGCATTTCTTAGCATAGACTTATAAGGGTTGTTCTCACAGACATTCGAGAAAAGATCGCTTAAGTAACTAGGTATATTTCCATTCACTGTATCATACATTAATAGACTTAAGTGCCTTTGACGCCTTGAGGCAAGCTCTTCCCAGTTTAGTTGTTTTCGTATTTGTGCTGAACGAACGTCATAGCCTTGAAAGGTTATTATGCGTGCAGCACGATTTTGTAATTTCTGGATCCTAGTGGCAAGTCCCTGGTCTAAATTGTCCCAAACAACGTCGCAGTAGTCGAACACAGGCTGGATAAGAGATTTGTAAATAGTATTTAGAACATCTAATGGTACATAATCACGTGCCTGTTTTAGACCACTGATGGATCGATTGACTTTTGAACAAAGTTTGTCAACATGCTCGTTCCATTTAAGATTTTCATCTAAGTGAATTCCTAAATATTTTGTTGTTTGGACTCGTTTAACATGATTGTTGCCAATCTTAATTGGAAAGTCTCTTCCTAAGTTAGATAATTTGAAGGTAGTTGTTAAGAACATATACTCCGTTTTAGTGACATTTAAGCTTAACTTATTTGCAAGAAGCCAGTCCCTAACGCGAGTTAGGTCGTTATTTACCTTGGCATATAGTTCAGCAGTGGATACAGAGGACGCATATATCGTGGTAACATGACAGGTTGTTTAAACCTAGTCTGCCAAGTGCTCCTTAGGGATAAAAGACAAAGAGGATTTAAGATTCGATTGGTAGTAAGGGAATCAAACTGAGGTTGAAACCATTTTAACCTTAGTTTCTTTTTTGAGCCCCCAATATGATGTACCCCCATTATAATCAAATGGACACAATATTATAGTCTAGTCCTGTGGCGTTTAGTCATATTGTGATCTCATTTCACAGGTTTGCCACCTGACTTCTTGAAGACTGTAAATACTAAGTTAAGGGGACTGGTGTTAAACATCAAAGAGTATTTATTAACTGAAAAAGTTTTTAGAAGAACCTACATTTTGTCAGTAAGTGAAGACTTTTTTTTTTATAACATAATGTTAATAAATTGTTCAACGTTACCCCTTCCATAATAACATATGCATGTTTAATGCTTACTGATTGCCAAGCGTATCTATAAAAGGCAGTCGCACCTGTAGCCTTAGGTCATCAGAATTTAGTATGGGTTAAGTGGTCAAGAGTGTGTCATGCACTTGTACTGTTAAAACTTGAAGGTTATTTGCAAATCACAGATATTTATAATTGTTTAAGAGTGTGAATACACCACTTACACATCTCCATTAATGCACCTTATTTGCCCCCCAAAAATTTTCTATAAGCATTGTTTTCAATTTCTCTTGAGACAGCTGTAATACCCAGGAGAAATGAAAAACAAAGGTTATGCAAAATTTGGGGGGAAGCGGGGGACAAATAATTAACAATTATTGGACGAGGTGAAGGCTGAGGTAAACAATTGATCTGAGAGACACTGACAAATCACGATATTTTGCGATAACCGAGTTTAAAAACTGTTTTATCATTCGACCAACAAGTTTGTTTTTAATGAATATCTTCGGGAAGCGAAGCGATCTGTCTTTTCTCACGCAAGAACGACCGCAAAAAGGAGAAAAGTGTTGTTTCGTTTACGCATGAGCAGAATAATATTTGCAGCCCAACACAGTTGAACGACATTGCTCATGAGAAGACCATTATTTGTAGGCAGTTATTTGCAGGTCACGTGGTAGGCTTTCGGCCAATAAAAAGGAAAAAAAATGCTGGGAATGATAAGGTGCATTTTGGGGGGTGTGTAAGTGGAGTATAAGCGGGACGTTTTAGGCCCCGTCCACACAAATCCGGATATTTTTGAAAGCGTATATATTTTTTACGCGAATTGACCTTCCATCTACACTAAACAAGTGCATCTACAGTCAACTCTCGCCTTGCGGACACCCCGCTATAACGGACACCCCGATAATACGGACAGCAGCTAAATCCCCGGCAAAAACAAGTTGCAGACGTTTGACTGAAATAAACTCCCGCTATTACGGACTCTCGCTAATGAGGACACCACCTCGAGGTCCCTACAGTGTCGGCTATAAAGGGAGTTGACTGTACTCACTGAAACCACATCTTTTTTAAGCGCTCTCCAGAGTAGTTTAGGGCCTCGTCAACACGAATCCGGGTAACAAAATATGCGCTTTTAAAAATCTCCAATTCGTGTGGACGGGGCCTTTTAAATATGGGCAATTTTACGAAAATTGGTTCTGAACAGTAATGATTGTCCCTTCCTCCTTCCTTCCTCGACAAGCCTTCGGATGCCATTAAAAATACACCTAGAAAATGAGACTTGACTGGGTCAAAAGTAGCCTGCGAGCAAGCTCTCCGGGGCGCTTTGGAGGCGGTGCGGGAAAAGGAAGGAGAGATGGCTATTACGTCTCTGGAATTTGACTATCTGCATCGAAAAAGTCGATGTGAAATGTAGATTTGCGGAGATGACATTAGTAATGACGTCATTACGCTTGGTATGTGTTTTTTGTGTGTTGTTTACATTCCCGCTCATTTCCGCTTTGTACTGATTGGCGCAAATCTGACAGCTCAGTTGACGGGGAGCCACAGGGGAATTGGAGGTGGAATTCAAATTCCAGACACGTAGTTGCAAGCTCTCCGTCCTTTACCCGCCCTGCCGCCCGCCGGAGAGCCCGCAGGCTAGGTTGAAAACGACCTTCCAATTCTTCACCCTCGTTTGGCAGATATGATTATTTCTAGCTTTCTTAGCAGGCGTAAAAGTAAAGAGACCAGACCTTGGAGAGAGCCATTTAATGTATTTTCCCTGTTCCATTTTTTGCCCAGTTCTCCACCCCACCCCCTTTCTCGGTGGTTAACAGAAAACACGAGATTCGAAAGGAAAAATAATTTCTATAATGCTGAGTACTACTGTTTTTCGTTTCTTACAGGTCATTTATGAAGATCTTAGTGACATAAGTCAATTGAATGATAAGATGAGAGCTTCAACGTTACCGAAAAATTCTCCTCTTATTACCAGACTCATACACTATCACAAGTGAGTGACATTATTACATGTCTATGTTGTGGTTCAATTTTATCCTTTGTGTAAATTTTACTTCCCTTTGTTCTAAACTCATTACCATACATTACTATACTCTAAAACAAATGGAAATAACTTTTAAACCAAGCATGAAATTAACGCGCAACATACACTTCCAAACCGCCGGATAATCTCCTGGTGATTTGATTACTTGGTAAAATTTTATACTTAGGCTTTTTCCTCGTGAGTTTACGTTTTTTAAATCCGGAACCTCGTGCAATATTTGTCGTATGTGTTACGGCTTCAGTCTGCGCGTGAACGATAATGTAAACTGGGAGTTGTAAGCAGTCGCCAGATTGGATAACTTCACAGTTCTGTTGTGGACAGACATAAAGTCATTAAGACTCAGTTTTAGGTCGTAAGCGTTTTTAGAGGTAGGCTACATGTAGACTAGAGGAGATTTTTCCGGGGTGATGGCGAATCTGGAGCATTTTTGTAGGGGATTCTTTTTTCTCTTTAAACGTAGTTGCGTCAGTCCGAAATAAGAACGCCCCAGTGGGTTCAATTGTTCACGTGTCTGAAGATTTTGAATCCGGAATCTAAAGTGAATACTTTGCATCCGACTGAATGTTCGGCTCATCCTCGGTGCAAAAACCTGTGAAACTCACGAGTGACGTAAAACAATGACGACAGAGAAGCCACTGAGAACTCAACACAATAGAGCCAAGGAAAATAATACCCGGTAGCTAGAAAACAAAGGAAAACTTCACAGGTTTTTACACCGAGGTAAACCCGAATTTTCTCTCGTTTATTAGTGATGTGTGTAAACAAATTTGAATACCCGAGATGGAATAAATCTGGAAAAAACCTCCTTTAGTACAAACGTAGCCATACACCGGACGCATGTGCATAGGTCAGTCGTGTGGCTTTGCTCTCTCACTGAATGCCCTCCATGAATTCCACTCCAGTGTATCCAGCTAGAACAAGATAAGAACGAACGGTGGAAGTAGTACAATAAGAGTCAGTGTGGAGAGTTTGTTTAAGAGCTCTCTCGCTCCCTCTCCACATTTTGACTCCCCATATTCTACTATGAAGTATGTTAATTACCCGAAAAGTCAAGTTCTGTTAGAATGTGCTGTATTCGCCTTCACAACTAAGAACTTTCATATTAGTACTCGGCTAGATTGGGTCAGTTTGCTTTTGTTTAGATGAAATTTTGTTATAGAGATAAAATGAAATCTGGTAGCACATTTTAGGAGTAACCTAGTGAAAATCCTAGCTTTTACCGGAAATGTGGATTTCAGACAGAGATAATTAAAGCACATGGCCCAACGCCATAACTTGGCCTCTTAGGGCCTGTTTACATGGAGTGGGGGACCCCGGTCTAGTGGGGTTGGTTTCTTTTGTTTTCACGCTCTGGGGGACACAAAACAAAAGAAACCTACCCCACTAGACCGGGGTCCCCCACTCCATGTAAACAGGCCCTTAATTTATATTTCACCTTTCTTCCTACAGTTTGATGTGCCATGCATTCGAGAGGCTTCGTGTTATCAGGGAATACCGCTCCCCGCGGACCATACGGTCATTCACTAAGGTGTTTATTTTTCTTATGCCAATCTTATTGTCGCCATATTACGTACACATGGGAATCAAGTCGGGTAACACATGGAGTCCATATTACATCGCCGTGTTGACATCTTTCATATTTGGTACGTTGCAAGGCGTCCAGGACGTGTTGGATGATCCGTTTGATGGGATAAGTGCGGACGATATTAATCTCGGTCAGGTAGGAAGCGTGTTTAAAAGAATACAGTGAACTCTCTCTAAAAGTGGATTTCCGCCATCCGTAATTTTTACGTGCGCACGCACGTAAATTTTACGCGCGTTAATGAAATAGAGACAATGTATGGAAGGTCTCGCGTAAACGTAAAAGTTGAACCTCGCTCAATTTTCAAGTTTACGCGTTGCCTTTCATACATTGCTTCTTTTTCATTTACGCGCGTAAATTTCTCGTGCGTTTGGACGGAAAAATTACGCGACAGCGGAAATCAACCCTAAGACGGACGCCTTTTAGCCCGTTGCGGGCTCTCAGATAGTGGGGAAGACGCAAAAGTAAAAGGCACGCGAATGGTTGGCGGGACGGCAAAAAGGAAGGAACCTCCTGTTTTTTTCTCTCATGTTCGCGCATTCTCAGTTCAGTGGTCCCGACTATCTCGGAGCCTGGAACAGGCTAGAAACCTTTGGAGCCGGTACTATACGTGTCCGTCTAAGAGTGATGTCTGGCTTATAGAGAGTCAAATAACGGGGGTAAAGTAAGGCAGGGATGAATTCTAGGTGTCCGTTTTCCGAGGTGTCCGTTAAGCCGAGAGAGTCGACTGTAATCTTTATTTTTAGATTCAATGCATAGCACCTTGGGGGAGGAGGGGGGGAGGGGTGGAGGTACTCGCTATAATGGCCTATACGGGGAGGTTCCGCTTGGAAGGGATACTTTTTTCAGGCTTCAGGTATATGAAAGAGCAGGGATGTTACTACTGAGTTGACTTATATGAAAGGATATTCAGGCTGTAAAAAAGCCCAAAGGGCTAGCAGATACATTTTATTGCTGTGAAAAGCCGAAAAAAAAGGTTCTGCCTCTGGGATTTATTTAGACTTAAAACATAGTGGATTTACAGCAGTTTAACGAAATAGATATTTCTTAACTACAATTGTAGATATGTCAAAGGGGTACCATTTTTCGATAGAAGGTACACGAAAGGGGTGCCACTTCCTTTTCGGTCAAAAATGGTAAATAAAAGGGTAAGGGGTTGGACCTCGGAGCGGAGCCTCTCGTATAAAACTTTGTTGAGTACCCTCCCCCCGCTGGGGGAATAACACCAGTGCTGCGTTATTACAGGGTTAGCCTAAATGTAACTTGCAATTATTGAATTCGGCTTTCGTAGGATACGAAGAATTCTGCAGATCTCGGAGGGTGTTATCCAACGAGGCCGAAGGCCGAGGTGGATAACACCCTCCTCGATCTGCAGAATTCTTCATATCCTACGAAAGCCGAATTCAATAACTGTTTATTATTCATTCAAAATAATTCTAAGTTTAAAATCAAGCTAAAACATGCTAACCTTGGTCGATGTAAGTCAATATCGATAATGCACCTTTATCAGGAAGTTTAGGAGATAAAGGTCTGTCCAGGTCTGCAAATATACTCCAAACAGGGATCGACACTTGGTGTTCTTTATACAGAGTTGTCCTCTTATAGAAGTATCCGTTAAGAGAGAGTCTCTGTATTGTAGTACCACCGTTTTTTCTGTTGTTTCAGTTGGAAGACTGGACTGCGCACTCCCTACTTACAAACAGAGTTATCACAGTTGGTCGCTTCACTGTCACCACAAAAGCAAAAGGAAAGGACGAACCATATTCGGACAGTGACAGTGACAATGACATGGGCCATAGTCCTATTCCCAAGATAATCCAACCTGCTAAGGTGCCTCATAAGAGAAAACCAATCCTAAGAAGAACCAGCTTTAGAAAAGTAGAACACGGAGAAGAAGAGCCAGAGGATGAACGTTCTAAGAAGTCTCTGAACCCGGACACTGCTCATCGCTTAGAAGATTTGGCACGACGTGGAATGACCGGAAGTACCACTATACTTCCGGGCATGAAATTGAAGAGGTCCAACAGCGATAGCTTGACCACTAACAACTCGCGTGGCTCTTTGCCTGAATTTTTTAGAGCTCGGGGAGCTGAAGTTAATGGGCAGGAGTCGCATGATTCCAAGAGGGTTTGGTTTTCAGATGGACTCGAAGTTTCTGATCACGAAGACAGTGTTTTTGCCCGTCCTCCATCTCATTCAGCTCCAGCGGGCTATCCCCGGCCGGAATGGATGTTAGATAAAAATGAACCTTTGCTTCAGTCAGGCAGCAATACAGGGTCTACACGTTCTTCTGAAACAGCCTCCACTCCTTTAGATTCATCTGAATTGGAGCGTAGACAACTTCCTGAAGATCTCTTCGAGGGTCTAAAGAATTCTCCTGGTACTACTTTAGTTGATGGACGCTTCTCAGTTCAGAAAAAAAGTAATGATACTCCTAAAAGTTTGGCGAATCTTTTTAACGGACAACCAGAAGGAGACCTAGATACAACAGATGGACCTGTCACTTCTAAATCAAGCCAACCGCAACCGGCCGCTATGCCATCTTCCTTGAGAAATTTATTTGGCCCTCCGCAAGATCAGGACAAAAAAATTCCTCCGCCTAGTGGCGTTGTATCGCCTCCTAATAAAACTCCCCGTCCACGTGTTCTTCCTATATCCCCTTTAGCTTGTACGGATAGTCTTCCTCGTTCTCGTTCCAAGCTTGCTTCTTTACCTAGCTCTCGTATTAGCCGCTCAGCTCCAACTACTCCAGAACAAGAAAGAAGGTGGAATTCACCAATCAGTCCCTCGCCTCCTGATACGGTTTCTATTCCTCTAAAAGCAAGTTGCCAGCAGTCAGCGGGCTTTCCCTTGAGAAAAAAATCAGCTGAAATGAGATTTGACGTCGACAGTGCAGCCCCACTTTCACAAGACTCCTCGCCAAATTCGCCGGTCCTGTCGCCAAGTTCGCCAGTCCTGTCGTCAACTCCTAAAAGAACAAATTCTCGTGATGCGTTATCAGAAGATTCAAGATTTGCAGGTAGATCGTCTTCCCAGTCTCCCGAAGTTGAAATGTCAAAAGATGATGACTCGTCGCCCTCCAAAGTGAAAGAATCATCAGGGAATTCAAGGTTTTCAGTCAAACCTCCTGATAAGGACATTGTGAAAGACAATTCAACAGAACTTGCAAGGTCTCCGGTAAAAGAGGATAGCTCTCCCGCAGAGAAGATGAAACCTTCCAAACCGATTGATATGCCAAGATCAAGGGTAAGTCAAAACATAAGTACCAGTCAAGTCTATGAAACTTGATAGTTATCCAACTTCCTTTCTTACCTCTTTGTTAGCTAACGATTCTTGCAAGGATACCAAAAACGAAAACAAAGTCCTACAAATGCAAACCGAGATGGCCTAGCTACTCCGGCTTTTGTTGTAATGTCGGGTGTTTTTGAATGCGAAAGTTTAACCTTTGGAGTATAGCAGTTTTCATTGTGACGTAGTTGAAGTTAATTTGGTTTTACCAAGTTCAGTTACGGGTTGAATTTTCATGTAAGCCGTTCACGTGATTACAAAATACAAATACGAGTAGCTGAGTCGTTGTCACGTGGTCTCTAAACAAGCGTTTATTACATGGGCTTTATGAACCTACTAAAGAATGTACGACAAGGTTAAATTCAACTCGTCAAGTACAGCTGAAAAGACTAATCCACACCTTAGTAAAACTGAATCAAAAGATGAAATTCAAGAAACTGGTGCTGTGTCGGTGAGGGAATAAGGCAAAAATTTGTTTTTATCAACGGAGCTTATTAAGTCAATGTACCATTGAAAAGGAATGAAAACGGAATGTGTTTCGTCGAACTTGCGATGGGATAGTGCTCGAAACGAAAGAAAGAGTGGATAGAGATTTGACAATGCAAATGTTGGATTTCCCAAGTAAACGACAGAAAGCCCTAAGGTGGTTTCGCCAAATGAAAATCCCTCTTTGACGTGGATTTCAATCAACAAATTAGAGAAAAAATAAGTCCGTTTTTGATCAAGTCAAGTCAACTTTATTCAGGCAGATCGAGTTGCCCTGTCAACCATTGGATGGTATCAAAAGGGGCCCTGCGTAAATTACGACTATACAATAAAATTTTAAAAATTAAAAAGTCCGTTTAAATTATGTACAATGATTTTGAAAAAAGGATATCGAGTTCTTTTGGGAATCTGTGAATCCGGACTTTCACATGCAAATGTCTTTTTCTCTTTGCATTTTATTGTGCTCCCGTCTTCTATTCGACACTTGCACATCTCCCACAATACACTTTCTTTGCCCCCCCCCCAATTTTGCGTAGCCTTTGTTTTCAACTCTCTTGGGTGTTACAGTCGTCCCAAGGAAAATTGAAGACACTGCTCATGCAAAATTTGTGGGGGAAAACAAAGTGTATTAAGGGAGATGTGCAAGTGGCGAATTATGTTATTTGATTTACCCGAACCGTACTCATGTTGTCTACTTCAAATCGCTTGCCCCCACTATCCCGGTGACCAGTATATACAATTTACTTCTACCGCTGATTCGTAAACGAATTTTTATTATCAGTTTCATGTTGCCAAGTCCTCAGATGACGTCATCAGTCCCAAGGGAGAAGATCGACCACTCGTCACGTCAGGAGTCCCTAACTATGGAGTCACTGATCCTTCCCCACCCCCCAGCGTTCTTACCACACCACCCTCTAGATTTCAAGTGAACACTCCATCAAAATGTTCAGAGAATAATACAGCGACAAGTTCTGACGAAGATGCAGACCCCGATGCGGTCAGACGCGAGTCCTTTGCGGTCTTGTCCCTTGATTGAGAAAGTGGTGAAGTTTACATTTAACGTTTGCCATTTTGAAGTTGCGCAGTGTGGTGTCGAATTGTACCGTGGGGTTGTTGTGGGAGACGAGTTGATCCATTATCCTACGCAACCTCGTTACAGCCAGTAACAAGAGCGACAATCCCATAGTGCAATTCGACCCATTATGTTGTTCAACTTTAAATAATAAACTCGTTCGTGTAATTTAAGGGCGTCAGGAAGCGTTCGGACAGGCCAAATTTTAGCGAGATTTTTAAGGAGCGCTAAGCATAGCCCGAGAAAACAGCCCCCATTTTGCGACGCCACAGGTTTTCCCACAAAATGACGTCTGAGAAAGGAGAGCAGAAATTCCATGGTGATGTTAGGAATAACTATGAACACTCGTTGACAGTTTTAAATGCTCTCTGTTTGACCAATGTAAAAGGAATAGTACACATTAAGTTTTCAATTTGAAGTTCGCTGAAAGAGGCTCATTTTAAACTTCGTGCTACTACCGTGACGACCTGAGCTCTGCAATAGAACGACGTTTGAGAGTAATTCGTGTTACAAACGTGTTCCAAGCTTTGCTGTGCTACTCGTTAGTAGCACGACTTGGTTTCAAACGTCATGCTACTGCCGTGTCCAACTCAGTCAATAAATTATAATTCTTTTACTTTCCTCTTACGAACGACGGAAATCATGTTTGCATTGTCACTTCGTGGTAACATAATAACCTTCTAAGTAACAATCTTGAAACGTTTGACCGCGTTGGACATTACACTGCTCCTGTGAAAAGCTGGTGTTGTGGACCATCCTTTTTTGACTAAAGGCGCTCTTTACGTGATTAAAATTTGTAGTGATGAGTAAAACTAGAAATAATTTCACTCGCATTTTGTAAATTTCTGTGGAGTAATTTTATTGGAATTGATTCACACAGCAGTATAACGGTGGATCACCTATTAATATCCTAGGTGACATTATTACACCCGCAATTGTGAGTTTTTGACTTGCTCATTGCATAGAGAACTCCACGCGCTGAAAAGATTGATGCAAACATTTGAAGTTCAAAGTTTTCTGAGTTTTTGGCTAAAATACTCGTTACAATCATTGTTTCCTCTTTTAAATATTGTGCTCTTTCATGTGTTTTTCTTTTTTTAAACGCCCTAAAATCTTCGTATTTTTGATCAAAAAATCAAGGAGTAATTGTCATCCGTGATATTACATGTAACAGTAAATGATTTTTTGTTCGATTACAAACTTGATTTAACAAAAGTTAATCTAGTAGGTTGTTTTTTGATTCATGAGGGGCAAAAGGAGATTTGTTTCTCTTGGAAATCTTGAAAAACACTTTCCTGAGAATGCGTTTCAATGTTGCTGACATACTTCAACGTTAAAAATGACTGTAAATAATTGAATATTTATTTTTGTAAATCAGGAAGCGGAGATTATTTTTTCAGGATCAAAATCCCTGCAATGTAAATAAAAGTTGTCGTCGTAATGTTGTATGCATGACTTTTCTTTTGATGCCTTTCATGTCATGAGGGTGCGTTTCTCTGGGGTAATCCAAAATTAGATTCTTGATCTCGAATCACCTAGAAAATCTAAAAATGGATTCCTTTTTTAGCGTGACAATAATAGTTGCTAGATCTTCTTTTTTACAGATCCATACCCATCCCAACCCCCCCCCCCAAAAAAAAGAAAGAGAAATGTGCAAATCATTAAACCCAAAAATTTGGGCGATCTTGCAGCTCTCGGGAGCCTTCACAGGATCGGTTAGGAAAACAATGAACAAAAAAAATTAACAATAGAACATCGCCTGAAAACAACACTACTGAAATATTCCAATTCGATCGAAGTGTAGATTCTTTTTTTTTTTTTTTTCAACTCCAGTCGTGACGAGGTTGCGCCCGAGTATACCTTGTCTGAACCTCCCTACCCAGTAATCTATTGGCACTGTACACTAATTGCCCGTTGATCCTTTGCCTTGTGGGAAATAAAGAGTCCATGCAAGCATGATCACTTTCTGCCAGTACTTTACGCATGCGCTCAGCCATATCACCCAGTAAGTAATTTCGCCCTAATTTGGGCGATATGGCTGTAAACAGGCGAAAGGCACTGGACAGCTCGTAACTAAGGTGTCCCGGTGTGTCACGTGCTTTAAGTGTTTCGTTTATATAAGCATTGCTAAGGTTACCACCATGTCCACTCTAATTACTGTTGAACTTAGAAGCTTTCAGAGGTCGTTACCTTGTGGGGGAAGCCGGGGGATAAGGGGGAGGGGGTTTGCTATTTTTGTGAGTAAAAAATTAAAACTGTTAACGTTTCACAAAGAAATCATAATAATGCCAGCAATTAACAACCAGTTTAGTGGCACAAATTTTGATTACAGCAACAACATGTTTATTCAGTATTACCATTTCGGCCATACATGGTGTTGAATACAATAATAAACAAAGAAAGTTAAGTAAATACCAATATAATTGAATGATATAATTAATAATCATTTTTCTTTCGCTTTCAAATGCTTGAAAAACAAAAGTAGCAGCTAGCCTGCTAATATACGAATCAGTATTGTTGAAATGAAAACAGAGTTTATCATGGTTACTGTAATTTTTAAAGCCACTTTCAATTACTTATGACATACTATTTGAATTCCTTAATTCCCATCCATACTGTCTATGTGCGTTAGCTAGTGATAGCTAGCTAGTTTAACACCCTATGAATAACTTATGACAACGCAAAACTGCGAATAGAAAAAACAAGGACAACTATTTCTGAGCGGTTGTTCATTTTTGGGTTTCTTAAAAAACAAAAATTTTCATCTTTTCTTTTCTTTTTCAATTTTTTATATGGCTTTTAGAACTAACAGTAATCGTATCTGATAATAATGACTTTATTTAAGTGCCAATGATTTAGCTTATCAGTTAGCCAAGGCCCCAAGTGAACTGAAAAAAAAATGGCCTTCACGGCTAACCGAAGACGAAAAGGCCAGATTTCTGACTAAAAATGGAAGGAAGAAACGCAATGATATGCAAAAAATAAAAAGATCCTCGATGGATTCCATCTACTTTTTCAGGGATAACAAAGAGTTAAGCTTCTTTCTGTCAGAAAGACACAAGTTATTTTATAACAGCAATTATTGAACACGTTTTTCCATGTTTGCAAAACCAGACATAGACGTTTCCAGGTTTGTGCAACTGTCTCGAATTCTCCAAAGTCTTTCTCGTGATTATATCAGGCTATGCAAACAGGGGAAACGTTTTCTATTGCTTAATTGTAGAACTGTTTCTATAAGACTGGAGCTCGATATCACTCCAAACTGGGTCTCGTGCAAGGACATTCTCTCTTGGCTGTGTGACGTGCCAGGCCGACCCAATGCTAGGCGATTTTGTTGCTGTTTGCACCCTCGCAGACGAAAAACGTAAGCTGCGGACTAAGATTCCCTTCATCTTCTCTCGGAACCTTTGGTTAACCAAAGCATATGCAAACGGGTTGACAGCGGCATTAAACATGATCATGACGTGAGCCACGGGAATCGCTACCCGGCTGAAATTGTAGGAGGCAACAACTTCCATCACGTGGAGTATACAGTCTGTACCCCAGCATATTCCAAATATGACAGTCACTATAAGAACCATTAGGGTGACTCTCTTACGCACTTTCAGTACAGCCTGGGTAAAGAAAAAAAAAAACGAAAAAAACTCATGAGCACTAAAAAAATGGTTTCGATATATTAAAATTCATACTTGGCTCCAAGCATCGCAGCCATTTATGGATTTTAATATATCGGAATTGGTCGATTGAAGCGTCTAGCCTGCTTTGAAAAGAGTTTCGAGATCAATAAATAATAAACAAACAAAACTAAGTAAAAAGTATGCACAAATTTAAAAAAACGATATGGGATAAAACGTGTGCCACCAATAACTGAGGTTCTGTAATACAAGTTGTAAGAATCGTTATGAATAATTACAGTTAACTTATAAATTACTGTGCTGACAGCTATTGGTCACTTGATCGTCGAACGTTTCTATCAGTATACCCCTCTTAAAACCACGTTAAAACCTGTGCTGGCATTAGCAATTAAGATAATATAAAAATATAGTGAAACAAATGCGTTATTTCCTGCAGTGTTAGCTCAGTCGGTAGAGCGTGTGACCGCAGAGCGGGAGGACGCGGGTTCGATTCCCGGGGCCGGACCTAAGAAATGAAGGTACTACCTTTGTAATGCAACCGGCTAGACCTTCGCGGTGCTCGGATGACTACGTAAAATGGTGGTTCCGTCTCCAGTAAGAGACGTAAAAAATAGTGTCCCCAATGAGTACTTTCGTGCTAAATACATTGACACTCAAATAAAGTACATGTGTTTAATTTTTTGCCTCTAAACTGGCTAAATTTCGTCAAGACAAATGCAAGGTGCATATCAGGGACTCCCTTGCAAGCACAACGCCAATCAGTAGTACCCTCAGGTACAGGTGCTTTGACACTAGTTGTAAA